ATCTATGCATCTATCTATCTATCTATCTATCTATCTATCTATCTATCTATCTATTCATCTATCTATCAGGCAGGTCACATCTCTGCAGACACACCCTGGACACACACTTTTCCTTTCTGGAAGAAAAACATCCAGCATTAATCTTATATCTTTCCCCTCAGGCTGTCTCTGTCTCTGTCTCTGTCTGTCTCATACTCATAAACGTCAGGTGTCTCTATTCTGCCTGGGCATCAGGACATTCACCCACAAACCAGGACACACCCACAATCCACACCGCCCATATATGGGAATGGAATGCTTGGGATTCTTTGATTGACACCCCGGAGGAGCCAATGAGAGGTGGAGTTGTCGTCTCGTGGCCAATGGTAAATATGCAGAAGTTTGTGTCGGAACTTTTCAGTGAAGAAGCTCGAGCTGCCCCTCACTCTCACTGACTTCTCACTGACTTCTCCACGCAGAGCTGTGGAAACCATGTCCGCTGCGCGTGGAAACATCGGGGATGTTGTGACGACTGTCGTTGCCCGTGTGTGGATCATATTCAGCGTCTGTTCCGCGGTGGTTCGCGGGCAGGAGGGTAAGAGAAGCTCTTCGTGGTTAGATACATGTCAAACATCTCGTTAGCCCTGCACGAATGTTAGCAGCTCGCACAGATGAATTGCTGCTGAGTTTTAAGTTCATGTGGTGAAGCTGAAGTCGGGAGATGCTTTAAAAGAAGCGGCAGAAGTGTTGAAAGTGCAAACGGTCAATGACAGGCTGTTAAACACCATTTACATCCTTCCTGAGCTAGTTATTCAGTGTTCACTGTATTTTACATGAGCTACTTTCCCCAGTGTTAGCTAGCTGGGCCTGTTACACAAAACCCCTCACAGCTCTGACGTGTTCTGTGGTTTACTCTGCTGTCATTAGTTAATTATGAAGCTAGTATTAGCAAAACAAGTGTGTGGGTCAGTGGTAACATGCTGTGTGTCCAAAAGGTGCAGAGGGGGGACACGTGATGTCATGGTGGCATTCTTGACATACTCTTCCCTTGTCCATGTTTACCTACTGATCCCAGCTACAGGCTTACCTTTCCCACAGCAGCCAGAAGTGGACGTAGAGAAACAGTGTAACTGGTTCATCCACTAACCTGGGGTCAAAACACTACCCTAACCCTACCCACAGAACTTTTTTGTTGTTTTTATCTGTCTCTGAAGAGGCAGTTCGGTTGACTCACATCCGCAGATGATTCAGTCCATTTATTTATCCCTAGAGCTTTGGTTGGGCCTTGAAATAGAAATAGAAGGCATTTCGACCTCTGTGTTGTAACGTCCTGATTGAGCACAAGATAGAAGAAGGCAAGGTAGTGACAGGTAGCACAGGTGAACATCCTGTCTGCTAGCGTGGACCTGTAAGGACCTGCCAGCAACGCCTCGGATGGAAAACAATGTTGCGAGGTGTTTCGGATTGACTGTCTGCTCCCCTGCCACCCAGCGTGATTCCACTTTTCTACAATTCACCTTTGAAATGTATTGAACTGGTCTAAACGTCCTGTATGAAACTAGAAATCTGTTGGTTTGGAGACAGAAGGGAGCTGAAAGGGTTCAGCGAGCAGGGGGCAAGATTAGCGGCCACCCAGAACTTCCTTGGCATTGCTGCCTCTGTGGCCTCCCAGCGGAAGGCGACAGATCCATGCTCTGTTGCCCACAGTTACAGTATGTGGCTGTGGCATTTCCAGGGGATCCCTAGGGAACCCAAGGAGGGGCAATAACATCTCAAGGTTTATGGTATTAGGATCTGAAGAGCTGTCGGGAAGCAGGGGCTCGGCTGGTGTGATGCAGGATGTGTGTGACACAGAGCAAATGGAAGGTTATCCTCTTGTTGCCCCTCAACAAACCTCCAGGAACCATATATGGAAGACAGGGACTGGGAAGTTGTGCAGGCTTGAACGGACCCGGGTCCCTTTTTTATGTTTTGACCATTCTCGGAACTTGACATTTTTTGGGGGGTTAGAGTAATGTCTGCCGCCCCCACAGCACTTATCTCTGTGTGACCAGTGTCGGAATTGACTCATTTATTTTCTGTGACCAATGGGAATATAAGACGCTCTAAATATTTGTGTTTCCAGTTCCAGTTTAAGTGTTAGTCACAGCAGCCGCAGGTCAGAGGATGTAATGAATCAACATTCACAAAAATATGTAGAAACATATTCAGACTTTTGAAAAAATTTACATTTACTCAACAGCATCACCTGTTGTGTAATGTAATTAAGATATAAAATCTGCAATATGACCTGTTTAGAGTTTCTGAAGCTGTGTACTCATCACAAAGTTGTGTCATCTCACAGTTATGATCAGAAGAGTATAAACATGCCCTGGTCTGCTGTTCAGAGTAGACTCATTACTCATCTATCCTGAAATGAGGCTTGACAAAGCCCTTCATATTCTGTGTATTCACTAAAGGAAACGAATGATGAAAACTGTCTGCGGTTATGGGAGTTTGGCTTTGCTTAAGCTTGAAAATGCTCAGCCAGTAACTCCTCTCTTCTCACAGCTGTTTTAGAAGTAAAACGTCATAGTTATAAAAGATTATATTTTATATACACACATATGATACTGGTATCTACTAGCTGTGTAATTTAGAACCTGTAATTACAGGGTTGACAGTACACTATACAAACATTTCAAAGATTCCACGATAATGAAAAGAGTTCATTCTTTACCGAGACAACTCTTTTATCAAGAAGGTCATCAAGTTTTATTATTTTTAAAAGGCAGATTAGATGGATGGCAAATGGATAGAGACTCTCTCACCCTTTGGAACCAAATCAGCTAAACATTTCCCTCAATGTTAAGTATACATTTTCCTTGTGTTTCCTGCCACAGCCTCTCTATTGCATTTGTGTGATTTCAGGTGATGGCTGTGGACACACGCTACTGGGCACAGAGTCTGGTACCTTGGCCTCTCAGAACTATCCAGGCACCTACCCCAGTAACACTTGGTGTAAGTGGAAGCTTCGAGTGGCAGAAGGCCGCACGCTGCAACTCTTGTTTGGAGATTTTGACGTTGAGAGCAGCCCGGGCTGCCGCAATGGCTCCCTCGTGATCACAGACAAAAATGGAGAACGCTGGCTGGGTAAGTTAGTTCTCTTTGTTCGGGTTTTTATCCAATCAGCAGGTGTATTAGACATTACATCACGTGTACCCTCACTCTTTTTTACGTTCCATGTTATTACTCTGGCTCTCATAGCCGTGATTGTGGAATACACACAGGGCATGCCATTCCATTGACACATTGACAGAGGAGGCAAAGCTCATTTGCAACAGACAAATGCACTTTTTTAAACCAGGTGTATCAAGCCATGTCTTGAGGGTATGCAGGTTTGACAACCTACAAAAATTTAGACTGAGAGATTCAGGAGATAAAAATATTCAATAACTGCTTTTTGTCTTTATTATTGGATTCTGCTGAACCTGAGCATGTTTTTTAAATGACAGTCTGCATGGCTCTGATTTGCTATACAGTATTGTACGAGTTGGATGAGAGCATGTACATGTATTCTTTTCTGCTTCACTGGGTTTGTTAGTCGTATCGATACTTTTTCTGTAAACTGGAAATACATGTGCTTCTATATGGAGAAGTGTGCAGATGAGCAGCATTTGTGTTTGTGTGCTTTTAGAAATATGGCTTGTGCTCGTGTGCGTTGCAGGTCCAGTGTGTGGGAAGCTTGATGAATTGCAGAAGAATGTGACACTCAAAAGCAATGAAGTGATAATAACCTTCATGTCAGGGCTGCACCGCTCTGGACGAGGGTTTCTGCTGTCCTACACCACAGACCAGTATCAAGGTATGAGAGTCATTTGTGCACACTGATGTAAAGTCATGCTCGTCAGCTATGTTTAACTATTTGTGTATTTATAATATGTATGTGAATACTGTTTATTACCAGCTATGCGTTTCTATTGTGTCTTACAAATATGTAATCCTTGGTTTGAATTAATTCAAAAAAATCTTCTCATCAAAATTAACGCTGGTTTAGTTTTAAGACAGTTGACTGAGTGAATAATTGTCCCTGTGTACTTGTGCGTCAATGTGTACACATGTGCAGCGGTGAGTGCATGAGTCACTGCTTATTGGCATTCATCCTCCATCACTATCTTTGCTCTGGCGTGTTTGCTCCGGAAACTGGAGTCAGACTCCTTCTCTCAGGCTGAATGGAATGAGGCCTCAGGCTGGATTTTTTTTTTTTCACCCCCCCTCCCCTTCACCAGCCTGTTAACCATTGCAAGCCCCATCCCATTCTGTGTTTGTCGCCATAAGGCATCTCAATACAGAGGGTTGTTGATTTAGAGGCTATAAAGTCCACAGATGGACCGTAACTTCACGTACTCTTCCAGGGCAACAACAGATTGTGATATGTGGGAACATCATTTTATTTGATAGTTCAATAGATTCAATAACAAAATAAAATAAAGGTTTAGTATGACTGCTAATCTATATTTAGAGTTAATTTCCTGTCCTCTGGATGAGGTATCCTGCCCTGTACTGTATGTATCATAGTTTCCTGTTGTTGCTGAGCAGTTTGTGAAATCCGGCCATGTCTGCAGCTAAGCCAGCGTTTAGACTTACAAACCACAGTCTGTTAACTATGATCACACACGGCCCATTTTCTGTACTCGTGAACTGTGACAAAGTCACAGTAACAAAGGCCATAGTCACATCAAGTGTGATGAGTGCTCATCCCCTAATTTAGCGCACGGATCGTGCTCGACTGTCTCACACAGAAACTGTTTGTGTGTTGCTGAGTGAGTGGCAGGGGGAGTATTATGTAAGCCTGAGATACCGAGTACCCATGCATACTATTAAAGAAAAGTTTAAATTCATTCTCACAAGTGTTTTTAACATCTGTCTGTCTTCTTCTTTTTACAGATCTCATTTCTTGTTTACAACGAGGATCTCATTTTAACTTGCAGTCATTTAGGTTAGCGGTTAACCTCTATGTTCTATAAATGAATCACTTTCAGTAGATTTATACTGTTGAATTGATTCATTCTGTTGTTTCTTAGCGTTTACTGCCCTGCTGGGTGTAAGAATGTCACAGGGGATGTGTGGGGGAACTCTGAACTGGGTTACAGAGATGTAAGTACGCTTCCTTTCTTTTGGCCAAGCTGATTTTTTAAGATAAACGTGCATCTAAAAACCACATTCACCCTCTTTCACAGACCTCCGTGCTTTGCAAGTCTGCTGTCCACGCTGGAGCTACGTCTGATAATATGGGGGGTCGTGTCACTCTGACTCGTGATAGAAGTCTCAAACACTATGAATCCACCTTTGCCAATGGAGTCCTCTCTAAAATGTGTGTTTGCTGATTTGGCAGTAAAGTCACAGATGCTGCCAATTAGCTCCAGCCTGGTTTAATGTATTTCTGATTTGTTCGGAATTTGTAAATGTACTGACATTTTGCCTGTCCTCTTTTGAAGGGGATCGTTATCTGAGAAGAAGCTGCTCTTCAGCCAAGGTATGATTCAAATTAGACATTTTTCCCCACAGGTTTATACTATTTTCCACATTTAAGTTTATTAACAAGAAGCCATTTTAAGCCATTTATTGTTTTAGGTTCAAAAATCTTCCATAATGTTTTATTTCTTTCACTTGAGTAAAAAAAATCAGCTTTTTTATTTATTTTACTATAGTGCACATTAGTCTGCAATAATGATCAGTAATAAAGTTTAAATGACTTCAATCAAGTAGCTTCTATCACCATATATAAAAACACTCCAAGCTACATACTGAACCATTTTCATCCCTCTATCCTCTCCTCTGGCCTCTACACAGAATGCAAAAACATCCTACCTGTTTCCGGCCTTAATTCCTCGACTTTCTGGAACATAAACAGCCATGAGTTCCCATTCTGGACAGCAGAAAATAATGATGCCAACCCATGGGTGGAGCTGGAGCTGAGTGATAGAAGCACCATCACAGGTATGTTATAAATGTCAGTATTCAGTATTTTTGGGGGGAAATAATTGACAATATCAAAACAACACAAAATCACCAGCCTTTCCCTTTAAATGTGTACATTTCTACAGCATTGTTTCAGCATTATGTCACACCATTATCTTTTCCTAAATGTTGATCTAAAACATGTTGTCTACTGCTCCCTCAGGAATTATAACAATCGGATTCACGGAGTACTACACAGAATCCTACATTCTTCATTTCAGCAAAGACAGAAAGAATTGGAAGCTCTACAAAAGTGCTTTCAGCAAAGAAAGCAAGGTATGAATTACAGTGGATTGATGTTCCCTTGTTGATTCTTCGTGAGTTTCTAACAGTCCTGAGCTTGCGTGGCAGCCGACTTTGTCCTACAGGCTTCATGGTGTTATTCTCTGTGAATAATTAACTTGGTTGTTATGGTTCCCAGGTGTTTCAGGCGTATAACGAGGGTCACCTCAGGGTTCTCAACAGCTTGTTTCCACCTGTGGTTGCTCGGTTCATTCGGCTAAAGCCGCTGAGCTGGCATGGCAGAGCCTCAGCTCAGGTCCAGGTCCTGGGTTGTCCTGTAACAAAGCTCACACCAAGGTCCCACTCACCTCGAGGTAGGCATCAGTCCCCAGTCTCACAATTCATCCAGAATAAACGTAATCTATTCACGTGATTTGTTCAGCAGTTTAGTTTTCCTGACCTAAAGTTTTTCTGTGCTGCTGCATGTCCGACTGAATCTACATCGATTAAAGTTACCTTGGGAATGCCGCGCCCAAGCCCCTCTCCCACCCCCACAAAGAACCCAGTGTTAGTGGAGACAAGTATGAACTTCTATCACACTCTAATTAATCTACATGTGAACAATGATAATTAATAGCAGTCTGTTTGGAGAAGGATACTTGTCACATGAGTAAACAACTAAAAATGTCCTTTCTTCTGTCATTCAAATCTGTGTACATTGTAATAAAGTGTGTCCTTACTCATACTTGTACAACTGTTTACTCACTTTGATTCTTGTGCTCCTGCAGGCAACAGTCAGCCGGTAATCGTGGCAGTGGTCCTGGGGTTGATAATATGCGTGATTTGTTTGTTTGCTGGTGTCTGGTGGAAGAGAAGGTACTGTATTTCTTTTTGAACTATTATGAAATGATTTATTTGTACATTTTAAACCAACTCAGGATTTTATGACACACATACTGTAACATACTGTCCCTCTAAATATATTTAAAAAACTGTTCAGTCTATGAAATGTCAAAAAACATCTATGTATGTACATTTCTGAAATGTTTTGTGGTCTTCCTCCGTACAGAAAAAAAGAATCACAAATGAAGTACTCTTTATCTAAAGGTAAGTCAAGTGCTGTTGTGTTTTTTCCAATAACGTTTTAATCTCTTGCTAAAAAAGCCTCTGAATCTGTTTGCGTGTCAAGTAGGTTGTCAGAGTTTCCAGGCAAAGAGTGTCCCCTGCACGCAATCTGAGCTTTTCTCCTACCCTCTGGAGCGAAATGTCCACGATGCTCTACCTAGCCCTCCTCTCAATGGTGAGAATTCATGTACATTGTCTATAAATACTTTTTTAAGAGAACAGGGAGCAAATCAATCTTTCTAGAAGTACTATCATCTGCTGCTTTTTTCCTTTTTTCTGCAGCGCATGTAGAATTGATGTCAAGTTCCTCCATTTTTTTCTCCATTCAAACCGTGTGGTTTCAGTGGTCAGTTTGAGGAGCTCATGCCAGGCCTGACAGGCAAACAGCTCCCTTCACGAGATGGCCATTCTTTCCCCCGGCTCAGCCCATCACCCAGTCACAGTATAAACATTCCTTTCTTTGGTCCACAGAGCCTCTCTGAAAGAGACCCTTTAATTGGAGCTCGATAAAGAGTGCTCAGCCTACTCCCCACCACCACCTCCACCAGTTACCCTCTGTGCCTCCCCCCCTTCCCTTCTCCCAGTGAGGGGGCCCTTCACTGAAAGGTCCAGTGATAAACAGGACAGAGGGTCAATGCTAAGACAAAATACAGCTCTCACTAAAGCCGGTCTAATTAAAATAGTTCTGGCTCTGAGGATCCCTGCCGGCCCTTGAGTAAGGTCTAGGCCTCCCACACCACAGCCTCTTCTGCTGGGGCGAAGAGTAGGGTCTGGTCCCCCCCCCGCTACTGCTATTGAGACACAAATAAGCAATAGGAAGTGGTCCCCTTAGTGAAAGGACCAAGTTATGTGGTGAAGGTAATGGTTTCATACAAACATTTTTATCACAGTAGCAGTGTATTAGTGGGGATGCAACAATATCTTTAAAAGCTCATATAAGACACTGGCTGTTTTAAAGAGTGTAAACGATGTACAACTCGAATAGTTCAGCTACTTGGCTAATCTTAAATATTTCGACCACATCTCACAGCAAAGAAGACTCAAAAAGTGATCAATACACAGAGACATACATGATGGCTGGTAACATTAAGAAACTGACCGTAAGAGTATAAAGTATGGTAGTATTTCTTGTAGACAGATGGATGACAGTATTGATATTGCTCTCCCCTCTGTCTGCCCCATGTAGGCTGTACCTCCAGTAGCAGGTTCGCTTAGCTTAGGGAACAAACTCTGCCTCTAAAGCTATAAAACCTAAAATGTAAAAATGAGGATCCACAGTGATCAGTAGCTTTGTGCTTAAACTTGAAAAGTGCTGTATAGATAAATTGTATTTTTATTTTAACTTCCTTGAGTCTCAACTGGTGGTCTCAACACAGTACAGCAAGTTGGCCAAATATCAGTATTTAATAATATGCGTAGGTCTAATTTTGGACTGGTGTTTTTATCTAATCTGTGCAGTACACTGGTGTTTGTTGTATCTCTCATGAATAGAAACTCAGTCTGACTCATTTGTATTCATCCTTTCATTCTCTCCAGACTACGCAGAGCCCACTGTTGCAGCTCTTGGACAGAAGGTTGGGTCGACATTTAGACCCTCCTCAGACGAGGGCTACACCACCCCCTTCATCTTGAACCATTATGACACTCCTGGCAACCTGCCAGAGTATGCCGAGCCACTTCCCCATGAATCCGAGTACGCCACCCCATTCGGCGATCAGCCCTCTGAGTCCAACCTGGCAAATTTGACTGGGATGCTTCAGAGCAATACACACAGACCTCCTGTGCCAGTGCCACTGCCCGCGGCTAGTGCCAGGACAACATACAGCCACGCTCAGTATGACTGCCCCTCACACAGAATTCTATCCAACGGTTATTGCACTCCTGCTGTACACGTCAGTGGCCCAAGAACCGTCAGCACAGTCTACGCTGAGCCCAAGTCATGTGACTCTTTATTACAGAATCACACATACGAGGAGCCTTTGTGAGCTCAACTCGGACACAGAGAACATAAAGACTCTCTTGAGCTAAACGTGCAGTGGGACCAAAGGAGCACTAACACTGACAGAGCTGAACTTCCAGTGAGGAGTCACTTTGGACCTCTATGCATATGTGATGTTACAGAATAATCTGAAAACCATGTGGACAGTTATTTCCCTCCAGGAAATATGTATTTGTACAGTGGAAATATCCTATGATGCACAAGGAAAGTCCAGGTTCAGTTGTGTCTAAGATAATGTTTATTGATGTCAATTGTCATCACACGCTGCACTTTCAGAAAACACATACAGTAATGTATGTGTCAGTCTGTTTAACAGGTTAATGCAAACAACTGAATGTAACTTGAACATTTCAACATGTTTTGTAAAAGGGGAAACATTTAAGAAGCACTATGAATGGTTCACTGTAACAAAGTGGTTAAGATGTTGCTGTGATTTTAAAAACATTGGGTGGCTCTCTGAATATCTAACAATTATATTGTTGTCTTCAATCTGCTGGTTGTTGTTCCTCACAAAACCTATATCCATTTATAACATACATAGTAAAGTAACAAACAAACACTGGTTTAAAATAAATGATTAAATTATGGTATAATACAGAAAGGCACAACAGGCAAGCTTATGTCATTATTGGGACAGAGGACTTTAGATGTGATCCAAACTACTGCAGTGTCCTTGAGCAGGACTCGAACAAACTCGAGAGCTGTCACCACAACAACAAAACCTTAAAACTGGAGAAGGCTGCTAGTGTGTGGCCTCTTCATTGCTTTTCGATTTCTGTTATTTAACAGCATCTTAACCACAAATGAGAAGCACAAATAAAGTAAAAGTATGTTCTAAGAGTCATAAACAGCGAAATAACAATTAAATTTAACCGATAGGACATTGCTGTTACGCACACTGATCGCCTTAAGAGTAAAAATACAAAATATATATTTAAGTAAAAACTTTTTTGATTACAATAAGACCAGGTGGCAGAGAAAGTCCTCCATTATATCTGGAACTAAATGTTTGTAATTTCTTGGGAAAAAACTTTGGGGCCACATTTAGCGATTTTTTTTTTGTGTGGCTATCATAAAACAAGAAGAATACAACTTCTTCCACTGCTGGATAAGGCACAATAAAAACATCTAAAAACGGTTCAGACATTGGCCTGGTGTGTGGGTGTGTTATTGCAGCAGTGACGTCCTTCAGGTTATTTTCAGATCGATTTAAAGCCAATAGCATGAAGCTACACAGACCTGAATATCTCACTAATAGAAAAATCTAGTATTTATCAATAACATGCTGAAAAACTATTAATTTAAACTATTTTGCTTTGATAATAGGAACAAGTGCATATTAGGTGTATAGAATCTCTCCTTGCAATCCTTTAAGGGGTGACAATTTAAAGTCTATTTAAGGAAAACGTATTTTAAATCCACATAGTAGCTCAAAAAGATGTAGTAGAAATACCAAAGACTATATATATATTCCACACAAATATTTTTCAACACTTAGAAATGTTACAAACTTTGGTGTTGTTGATGCACCAACAACATTTATTCTAGGCATGTTCTGATATCGATACCAGAAATGGAAATACTGCCAAAAATGTCAGGTCAGGCATCGGCAAGAGAGCAAATCTATGTACCAATCCAATACCAGATCTTTAAATTATATTATTTTCACCCAAACTGCAATTTTCCAAACAGCTGTAGCAGAAGTAGTGATTTCCAGTAGCATAGCATTACCCAGAGCTAGCTAAAATGTCAGCAATTAGGAAATATTTCCCACTGAACAGTCCCACGTAAAACAGCAGCACGTATTGTGTGCAAGACTTCAGTTTTGAAGGGTGGCACAAAAATTGTGGACACCAATGAAAGCTACCCTCACTTCCATGCAAGGTTAGTAACTTACAGCTTGTTGTTTAATTAAATGTAGTGGAATCTGATTGGTATTTGTTATTGGCTGATACGCAAAGTCCAGGTATTAGACTCTGTATCGGGAACGGAAAAATGGTATCAGAACAGCTCTCATTAATTCACTCTCCCCTTTTACCCCGGACCCGCTCATTTGTTCTTAACTCGTCCCTCTGCTCCAATCCCCTCCACCTCATCTCTCCCCTCAGAGGAGTAGTGCTCCAGGGTCTGGTGTCTGTTCCTGGATGGAGCATCTTTAAAACGCAGGCCACAGTCTTCACATGCGTACAGAAGCCCCTCTCTGTTACTGCCCGGGTTTCTTGCTTCAGCAGCAGTCGACGCAGCAGATTCTCTGGAAGCTGCAGCTGGATGCAATTCATTATCCGTCCTATTAGGTGCATTTCGCCCAACACTGGCTGGGGGCAATGTCCTGGGATGACCCTGGCCTGCTGCCCCACGATGCGCTCCCCCAGCCCCAGCTTCCCCGGCATGTTCAAACGCCAGGCCGTGAACTGTGCGGTAGTGGAAGCGGATCCCAGAGCGGTTGGAGAAGCTTTTCCCACAGAGGCTGCAGATAAAGGGCCTCTCTCCTGTGTGGATGCGGGTGTGAATCTTCAAAGCCCCCGACTGCGTAAAACATTTCCCACACTGGCTGCAGCGGTAGGGCTTCTCTCCAGTGTGGGTCCTCTGGTGGGCTCGGACCCCTGCGAGATGGGGGAACCCTCTGCCACAAAATCCACAGGAATACGGCCTCTCCCCTGTGTGAATCCGCCTGTGGATCTTCAGGGCCCCTGATTGGCTGAAACTCTTCCCGCAGTCAGAGCAGGTGTAAGGCCGGGCTCCGGTGTGCACGTTGAGATGGATGCGCAGGTTGCTATGGGAGTTGAAGGCCCTGCCGCATTCTGTGCAGAGGAAGCCCGATGGCTTGTGGGTGTGCTCGGAGCGCTGGTGCTGCAGCAACTGGGACGGTCGTGAAAAGGAGGCAGAGCAGTGCATGCAGGGATGCAGCGACAACAGCGAGGCAGTCGTCCTACCTCTCTCCTCCCGCTGCTGTGTTTGTTTGTGCTGGTGCTGGAAGATCTGAGGGCAGGTGGGAATGGAGCGCTGGCAGGAGAAGCAGGGAAAGGGACCAGAGAGCTGCGGGGAGTGAGAGTGGGCAAGCTGAGGGCAGGAAAAACAAGAGGTCAAAGGGCAGTGGTGGTGATGAAAATGATGATGGGCGTGGGTGTGAGAAAATGGCGAGTCTGGGCCATCCGGGCTGCTTGGTAACTGACCGCAGGTCTGGAGGCTGCGGTGGCAACACAGGCAGGGAAACACAGAGAGACTGGACAAGGAGCTTGAGGACGCTCTGGGTGGATGAGTCTCTGAGTTCTGGTCCGAGCTCTGGGCCCCTCTGTCTGCATCCTCCCCCTGCAGTCGGCCGGACGTCCTGGTCCCTAACTCAGATGAGCCGGCACTGCTGCTTTGTTCGATGGTGTCCGGGAGGCACATGCTGAGGCTGACCGGAGCTGTGCTGCTGAGGTCTTTGGGGTGGCACACAGCGTCTGACCTCGCTGCCGAGGACAGAGATTGTCTGGGTTTTAAAGTCTCAAAGGAAGGCGGGGACGTGGAGTAAGGGCAGCCAGGGCAGACGCAGGCATGATGCACATCTAAACATGAAGAAAACAAGACTCTCAATGAAAATAATCTTTGACAGAAAACGCCCAAAACAAACCTTTGCATGACCCCTGACCTTCTCTCCTGTCTCTGGCCTCTCCTTTCCTCTGAGTTGACCCAGACTGGGTGTGTCGGCCAGCCTCTGCGCCCGTCTTGTCCTGAGCAGGTGGAGGATGTTGTAGAGGCTCGAGCGAAGCAGCTTTAAACCCCAGAGTCGCACCACCACCACCTACACTCATGCCCCAGGCTGCGTTCAGCACATCTGGCTGATCCTTGGAGGTGTTTCCAGATGTGATGAGCTCGCCAATGAACTGATGCATCTCCATCCAGGAGCACGGAGCATGCTGCGTGAAGCACAGACACGTGAGTTCAGCTGTACAGAGACACGGTGTGTACAGATAACTGCAGGCTGACAATCAATTTAACGGTACATGAAGCACATTGTTAGCTTCTCTCACAACAGACCAATGCAACGTCAACCCGTTTAGCTAACTCAAATCAAATGTAAAGCTAACTCAAATAGCATCGTCACACACTTACAATGTCGTTACTCTTGTCTTTGTCCATGAAGTCAAACAAACGCTGCTGCTGGCGACAGTTAATCTTCACATCAACACTCTCAGCTCTTCAGAAACGTGTTAAAAACAAAGGAAGCGACACAAACACACGTTTTTCACAACACGATTTCATCTGTGCTACAGCTTTTGGTTTTTTCCTTACCTTAGCTTCTACCATGTTTGTGATTGGCTTAACGTGATAGTCTTCCGGAATTATAACCAATCATCGCTCTTCACGGCTAAGTCTAATCCAATCAGATGCGGGGTAGGGGAGGGTCTTCTTCCTCCGAGAGTTGGAGGGTAAAAATAACACTTCCTATTACATACGTCACATAACAGACATGATAGTATTTCCGGGGTTTATTTTCCAATCCTGTGATGATCTTTATATACAGTCTATGGATGGGAGATGTTTTTCCTTCTTGTAAATATAAAAATATAAAAAACTATATATATATATATGTATATATATATATATATATATATATATAGTCTTAATGTAAAATTATTCTCCTAGGACTTAAGAGAATACTTTTACATTATATTTGAAAGGTAGAGGTTTATTTTTAGCTTTGTGAAATTGTGAAATCTTGAATCTGAATGTCTTAGATGACATCACAGGAGCAGTATAGATGCATTTTATGTTCTTTTTACATTTAAAGAAGAAGTCACCACTTACTTCACTTGTATCGGATTTGGCTGCAACGCTGTTTACCCCTGAAACTCCAGAAGTGTTTTGTGGACACAAACCCTTCACCCACCCCTCCATCGGCATAGTGGTGAGTAGATAATGAGTGAATTTTCATTTTTGGGTGGACTTAGCCCTGAAACAGCCCTGTGAATTTGTGAGGACCAGCCAAAATGTCTTCACAATGTTGGTATTGAACAAACCCCCCTGATAGATTTACAAACAAAAAAAATAATGTCAACACTCACATTAGCTAATATTGCATAAGAACATGTTTATTTGCATTTAGAAAAACATAAACATACCTGCCGACTTTTCGATAAGTATTATTATAATATCAATGAGAGGTGCTGTTATTTGCTTATGTATTCATCAATACAATACTTAACATGGAACTAAAGGTAAAGTATATATAGGCAAAAACGCATCCATTTCAAGTTTTCAGCTGAATACCAAGAAACCCCGTGTTTTCATTTAACTTAATAATAGATCCACAAACCCAATGTACACTACATAGACTTTATAATTATTACAGTACCATTTTGCTCTGGTGGTCAGAGTTACAAGTCTTATTCAGAAATAAAATTTTGTCAAATGGAGATCGGAAAGTTTTGTTAGGAATCAAAGAACAAAACAATCCGTCTTTTCTTACAGCAAAAGTCATACAATCATCCGATAGAGGTTCTGATCGAGATATAAATCCACTCATACACAAAAGAAATTCTGCTTTGTCATTTATCCACATTCAAAAATAAGCAGGCAAGTCTATGAAGGGTAGAAAATGTGACCACAGAATATTTTTTTCTGCCTTCAGCGCATTTAATTTCTCTTTATCCAAACATGCAAGGTGTGAAACGTCAACCTCCATCAGAATTTCTTTCTCTGGCATCCTGTTTATGAGCTAGCAGGACTTTGCAGACCCTAAATCACAATCCAAGCCATCAGACTGAGGCTCTTTCTTAATATCCACAATTAGTTCAGATGAAGTATTAAGAGGGGAGAGATCCTTCGGGTCCATTTTGCACTGCTTCACTTCAGTTCCTGCCTCTCCTGGATTTGTTGTAACAGTTGCTTCACTGTCACTGCTTTTGCAAACTTTTTTTCCTTTGCCATTAGTCTCTCCTGAGATTTCAAATTCTTGAGGCTCATTTTTAACAGTGTGAAGAGGAATGTCCCTCAGAGCAGACTTGGATGAGTCACACTTTTTAGACAAATCCAAAGGTGCTTCACATTCTGGATCCTGTTTAATACCAGATGCCAAATCCAGAGGGGTGTTCAGCTGCACTCCCAGAGCAGCATCCACTCCTAGGTGTGTAGAAATTGCAGGTGAGAGGGGATCGCCATTGCTTTCAGTTGGACACACAGGAAGAAACAAAACAAGTTTAACACCAGGGGGCGGGTTTTTGTCAAGGGTTAGTTTCCATAATCTGTCTGGTGGACCAGAGCCAGGGGACACATCCTCTGCCACAAGTCCAGGACTAACAGATTCTTTAACAGGTCCAGCAGCTTTGTTGCAAACAGTGGCAGGCATGGCGACTACGTTTGCTGAACTTGATGAGTCTGGTTTTGCACTGAGCTTCTTTTTCTCAGATGAAGAGGTCTTTGAAGCCTGATGCTTTTTGGCAGCACTCTGAAATGGGAAAGACAACAGACAAATACCAGTTACCAAACATATTATATAATACGTAAGTGTGACATGCCAATACAACCGACAGGGTTTTTGAAGTTATACCTAAGGCTCATTTAGGTCACCTCTACGAAAAGAGATACGTCCATTTAAAACAATGTAAACATCACTGTCCACATACTTCCATCCGTTTGTTGTTGGGTGGTTGTTCAGCAATGCATCCACTAGAGGGCAGTGCAGAATCGAGAGTTTATGACATCAACAAACATTGCAACAGCAGAGGAGGTTGTAATATTGCAACTGAGGTTTGTCTGTTTCCTCGGATGAAATAACATCATACAGATTCCTGTGGTTTCTTACTGACTCACAGTCTCACTTCAAAAAATTCTGCTATTGTTGATATTTCTTTATGTCTTATGCTTCCTTTTTTTTTACCATTAGCCAAATAGCAAATAATTTCACAAAATGTCAAACTATTTTTGTTTTAATTATTATAAAGAGCAATGAGACAATGTCAGTGACAGTGGCTGGTGTGTGTTAGTTACTGGTAAGTGAATAAACCCCAACAACCAACATTTTCTGCTCACCTACATTCTATTTAAAAAACACTTTGACAGAAAAATCCACAAAAAAGTGACCTACCACTAGCACTGAGTGCATTAAACAGTTCAAGTGTACTAGTATCCTGGCATTATCTCATTTATTCAAATGATGCATCACAAAAGTAAACATCTCAGTTTTAAAAACTGGATCTGCTATCTTGAGAATCCAGGAAGTATTTTCTAGGTTAGAGATTGACAAAGGATGAGCTAAATGACCAGTAGATCATCAGAAAGAAGATCTGTGTCCATATTTAAGAAAAATTTGTTCAAACTTCTCCAGTGTGACCCCACCATCACAACTATTTAATTGACATTTTAGTCAATTTAAATTGAACTACTGTTTCAGTTTTAATTTCATGAGGTTGAATCATTTGAAGTTGATTTAATCAAGCTCAAATTAAATCAACGGCTGCATGGAGGTCCGAGATGTATCTTTACCAAAAAAGAAAACAATGCTTTAGAAAATAGGTGACTGCAGTAAACAGTATTATTGTCTTACCCCAGGCTGAGGTGTTTTTCCACAGGTCTTGAGGTGGCTGTCATAGTTCCACTGGTGGGGGAAACCCAGTCCGCAGCTCTGACAAAGGCAGGGTGACTGACCGGCATGACCGCCCATGTGGGACATTAACAGCAGGGCCGACCGGAAACCCTTTCCACATTCAGCACATTTCAGTACCCTCTGGTGAGCACCGGCATGCTGCTTAAGCTCTTCTGAACTATCGAACATCTGTCCGCACTCCAAGCATCTGATCTCATCCCCTTTAGGCTCCTGGTTGCCCCAGCAGCCTGTGTCCTTTTTGTGCTGCTGGAAGTCCTGCTGACTAACAAACTCTCTCAGACATGCCACACAGTGAATACGTTCAGGTTCACACTTGTGTTGGTGGTACAGCACTGCCAGGCGGAAGTGGCAGCGGCATCGTATGCAGGTGTAAGGCAGCAAACCAAGGTGGGAGAAGCTGTGTTTCAGGAGAGCATTCTTCCTAGTAAAGGTCTTTGTGCAGTCTGTGCATTTTAAAGTGTGGTGGCACAACTTCTTCAGATGGCGCGCTAGGGATTTTGAAGAGGAGAAATTGCGGCCACACACTTTACAAACAACAGGCACCATACATTTGTGTAACCGCACATGAGACTCGCACAACTTCAATGATGTAAACACACGTTTACACAGGTCGCACTCGTAGAACTCATTCTCCAAGTGAGTATGCGTCAGGTGGACATCCAGATCCTTCTGTGATGCAAAGCTCACGCGACAAACTCTGCAGGCGAGACGGCCCACTTTGGTCTCAGCATGTGTGCGCAGATGAACACGGTAGTTGTGAATCTGGCAGAAGCGCTTTCCACATTCGGCACAACAATAAGGGCGCGCTCCGGTGTGCAGGTTCATATGATCCTGCAGCTCTAATTTGGAGGGAAGCTGGAGATTGCAGACACTGCAGCTGTAGCTGTCTGAAGGACTCGACTCTGGAGAAAGGTGGAAAAAAAAACTGATATGGGATAGATCATGATCAAATATGTACACTAAGCATACAGGTCTAAATGTAATATTAGAAATAATCAGAAGACTGATATATTCTGGTTTAGATGGTATCACCATATATCAGATTTAAAAAGGAATAAATGGTCTATAATTTCATTACTGTTAAATAATGGAAAAATAATTTAGTACACGACAAGCATTGAGACTCTAAAATCAGTCAGGACTAGTATATCTGTACATATTGTATTTTAATTGTACATTTGTAGTTTCAGTTTTACCATTGTTTATGCTGTCTTCTTCCTCCTCATAATCATCTTCTATGTCAACCTCTTCTTCCTCAAACACATCTGAAACTTCACTGTCGTCTGAGTCATCCACCACACCCTGCTGCTCCTCTTTTGAACCGTCCTGCGCAGCTTCTGCATTGTGAACACCTTCCTGTTCGTCTTCTTTCTCTTTATCGATCAGCTGTGGCTCATCTGTCTGTCCAGCGGTGGGAACATCCACTGTGCTCTCTGACAGCTCTACGTGTGCAGCCTGGTCATCTTGCACACTCTGTGCAGGAGCTAGCCTTTTACCATGAGCGGTTCGTTTTTCTGGACCCACTTCCTCGCCATCCAGTGACAGCAGTCTTCGTTTGTGTGTGTTGGAGAGAGGGCTGGCAGGGTGACCGGACACCTCTCGGACTGAGGTGTCCGGTGGCTGCAGGATGCCAGGAAATCCCAGCTCCGTTAGCTGGATATCAATGGTGTATTCAATGGACATGACTGCTGGCTGGGTGACACACAGAGGGACAGGCATTCAAATAAATAGCATTTGATGGTAATGGATTCAATTTTAAAGGTTCAGTGTGTAGAATTTAGTGATATCTAGCGGTGAAGTTTCATGTTACAGTTGAACACCCCTCACCTCACCCTCCCCTTCCAAACATGAGAGAGAACCTGTGGTAGCTTCAGTTGTCATAAAAACTCAAAAGGTGTTTAATTTGTCCAGTCTGAGCTACTATAAAAAAAACATGGCAGCCTCCATGGAGGACCCGCTTCTGATGTAAATATAAAGTATTCAAATATAAAGGACCCATTCAAGGGTAAAGAAAACCATCTGTGCAATTTAGATGAAACACACAAGAAAAAATCATCACTGCGATTATTTATATATTCCGCCAATCGATCCCTAAACCTCACACACTGAGCCTGTGAGATGTAACATTTAAGTTGATTACGAAACTAGACTCATGAACAAAATATTCATTTGTCCCAACCTGACGAGCGACTACATGTGTGACACGTCCTCCAGCTCTTTGTTTCCTTCTTTCTCCGATTTGCGACAGAAGTTGGCAAACAACTTCTCCATGGAAATTCTTCTCCCGACACACCCGGGCACCCAGCCGGCCACCTCGCTCACCTGGCGGGAGGAGCCTCTGACAAACAGCGCGTGCTTCAGAACAATGGGGACATTCGCTTTCTCCTCGACATCAGCTGCTTCGCGTCGGTGTCAAAAACGACTTTCACACGTAGATAAAACACAAAACTACGAGAATCGATGAGACTGCGCGATAACCCAGCGATGAAAAGAGCCGAGCAGGAAGATGTACATCCACTGGACCCGATGATCGACGAGGGCTGAATGAGGAAAAGAGACAACAAATGAAGAGCCGCAAGAGGAGATCTGACCGCGCGTACACCCCCAGTGTCATGGAGGGGTACTACATGTCCAAACAGCAACAGCTATTCTACCAAGGAGGTGATTAATGTGCAGTCTACGGAGTCTGAGAAGGTACATTAACCAAAAACACAGAGTTATGCCCAGTCCTGTACATAGCTTGATGAAAGGTACAGACACCCATCTACTGACCTCTATGCCGGTGGAGGGATGGGTAACTTAACACCACTGCAAGTGTCTGGTACCAGGTAGTGAACAGGTATTCTATTCAAATACAAATACAACATTCTCACTGGGATGAACAGCTGACATCTGAATATGCAAAGAACCTAAAAAAATATTCCCTGGCATTTTCCAATCAGGCTGTTGGGTAGGAAAGAATGGTCTTGACATTAAACTACAGGCTTATTTGATATGCAGTGTGTGTGACTACAAATACTGAGATCAACACTTACAATATAAATCCACCTTTCAGGTTGTGTTTCTGTAGTAGAAGTGAGACCAAAAGACAGGAAGGCACGTCATTTCTTCAGCAGCCTCCCTTAGGATGGCATATTTTATTACTTTTTTTTTTGCAGTGTCCAGACACATTGCAGTGGGGAGAGAAACAATCCAATTAGCGAATAACATGATATACACAGATCCTTATGGGACTCAAAGGTATTACAAAGCAACGAGTTCCATTTCAGAAATGTCTAAGACATGAACTATTATTCTAATAAGTGAAAAAATAAAGAATAACATTTTTCACTGTGAGAAAAATCATGATTACAGTGGATCGTTTCTGCCCACAAACCAAACACTCCACAATTAATCTGAAGAACTTGGCCAAAATAAAATGTTAGCAGAATGCAATTTTGTTAAAAAAAAAAAAAAAATTCAATGAGACTTAATTTAGAAAGGAACATAATCAAAATATTAAGTGTAAAAAAAATGCACAATATGAACCAGGAGCTGTACATAACATTTCTTTTGACACACATTCAAACATAGTATCATTACTAGGCATCTAATTTGCTTGATAATATGTACTTACCCAATCTGTTTTGAAAAAAAAGGAGGAAAAAAAACATTAAAAACATTTTGCCACAAAGTGAGTTAAACTCAAGACACAGTTATAAATTCACACCACACGCATTTCACGCATTAAAATCTGAAACAAATCATAAAAAAAAAAAAAAAAAGAGTTAATCAAAATGTTTTTTCCAGACAAACTATGTTCCGTGACAAAGGGTGTAATAGATGGATTTAACAATATTTGGTTAGTCAAATGAGAACATGTGTCTGTTTGTCCACAGTTAAATCAGCTCATTATCAATAACTCAACCCAAAATTAGCTAAAAAGTCATTCTCAAAAACCGTTTCAAACTCATCTGAGACCATGGTGTGGAGCATCAAATATTCAATATTGAAAAATGGAAAATTCCTGGCTAAAATCTTCAAAAACCATACACTTTTTAAAATGTCCACATAACACAATTATCTCTTTGCAGTTGGGTTTTCGGGCTTTTCATCCGGGTGGCTTTTTTGGTGAGCTTTCAATGTGCGCTCACGACCAAAGCTCTTGCCGCAGGTCGGACAGGCAAAGCGACCGATAGCGTGAGCCCTTGACATGTGGGCGTCGAGCTGCTCAGAGCGGGCAAAGCTCTCTTCACATTCGTCACAGGGGTGGGCTTTCCGTGGGGCGTGTTTCTCCTTCTTGTGAGCGCGGAGCTGAATCAAGCTGGGGAACGAGAGATCACATTCAGGACACGGGTGCTGACGCAGGGGGGCTGGGTCTACTTTAGGTTTCTTCTCCTTTCCTGAAGCTTGGCCATCATCCTCTGGGATCTTTTCTTCTGTTTCTGATTTTGCTGCGGCTTTAGGGGGGCGGCCTCGCTTTGCTAAACGTGGCTTTCCCTTCTCCTCGGCTGGAGGTGGTGCTGACTCGGATGTGCTGCTGGCCGTCACCGCTTCCTCAGGTGCTTCTGCCTCATCCTTCTTTTTCTGCTTTCCCTTTTTCTCAGCAGCAGCCGGTTCTTCGGTTTTGGAAGGCCGTCCGCGTTTCTTGGCGGATGAAGAGCTGTCGTTGCATTGCTGACCTTCCGGGTATTTCTCCTGGTGAGCTACCAGCTCGGACTCCTTTTCAAAGCCTTGACCACACTTCTTGCATTGATGGGTCTTCGTGGGCTCCTCTGGCTGTTGTGGAGTCTCTACATCTGGGCGGGGATGCTGGATCAGGCGATGAGTACGCAGAAGCGCAGCACTCCGGAAGGTTTCATTGCAATCTTTACACACCAACTGTTTCTCCGGACACACTTGTCTTCTATGGGTTGTGAGCTGCATAAGTGAGGAGTAAAATGTTAAACAAAACATTTACATAAGTAGTACCAACCTAGAAGGTATCTAATATTTTGAAAATAACGACACATTTTTAATTATGTAAGAGATATTAATTTCAAATATTCACATTCATACTGTTTTAATTTCAAGAAATATTCTTAATAAAAAAACTACAATATTATACGTACTTCAGAGAATGTTTTAAAGCTCTCCTTGCAGTGAACACATTTGAAGGGCTTGTCATCCTTGCTGTGTGTAGGCTGGTGCTGCGTCAATTCCTCAGATGACAGAAATGTGCGATCACACACATAACATGTGAACAATGTGTTTCCCTGTGAGAACATAAAAAGATACAAATATAAAGCACAGCCAAAGTTAAAGAGTATTCAAGACTAAGAACTGCTTGTGGTGTATCAAATTCATTCAGTTCACCGAGGACTAAGCAGGCAACAGGAGACATTCTTAATAGTCTATTTTCTTGAATTACAATCCTATTAAGAGTACAGAAAGAGAAAGGTTAAACAATCACAGACTAGGAGAAACAGTCTGATGGAATATATTAAAATATTGTAAATTACAGGCGACAAAAGCATTATTATTATTATTAAACCATGCAAAGTGATTGCAACTTAAAGACTATAAAACTCAGTGTAAATATGTCACTCTGCAAGCATTTTATGAACTCAACTCGTAAATTCAGAGGTATTAATATGGATACATAAATTGTTTTAGACCTGTATTTTTACTGAACTACATGAACTAGCACTGTGAAACTTACCTGCTGAAGCTGTTGCTTATACTCTTCCCGGTGGCTCTTCTTCATGTGCCTTTCCTTGGCTTTGGCACTGCAGAATGTGATGAAGCACTGGAAACACTGCAGGTTTTCATGCTGGTCTGGAGGGTGGAGATGTAAACGGATTGCATGAGAGATCCACGGGTGATCTTTCATTTGAATTCAACAAACTAATTATGTCCACTGTGTTACTTACAGGACTGAACAGCGGGTGCAGGGGGCCCATTCAAAGTGATGGGTTTGTAGGGCTCTGCTGGTTTCTCAGGGGGAGCTTCAGGAGGAGGGTCCGGTAACCCCCGGCCCATCACTATCTCCTCAATGTTCAAAATATCAGAGTCCATCCTGGGAGGCTGGCGGGTCTCAGCAGACACAACAATTTCCTCTGATTTTAAAAAGAATGCGGCAGAAAGACACAGCAGCAGTTTGATTAACAGCGGGAAACCACACTCATAATCCCACATGCGTCAGGACTTACGTTAACAAACAGTTCTGTTCAACAGATGACAATACACGAATAGTCTGCAGGACTGGGTAGGCTGTAGCACTATAGTGGTTGTTTATAAAGACTCGTTTTGCGGAGCTTCGCGGGTTTTAACTGAGTCCAGTTCCTCCCTGTGATCACTCAAGTTTCAGCTCATCCTAGCTAACGCTAACGTACGTTAGGGCCGCTAGCTACGCTAACTAGCTGCATGCAAGCTGACGAACATCCGGCCGTGTGTGAGCTGATTCAAATGCATCACCGGGTCTATCTGATAAAGAAGTGCGACTTAAAGAAAATATATGTGCGCCAGTTTCATGCCTGTACACGTAGCTAATGCTAATCGTAAAGAAAACAGTCACATCGAGCGGGCTAACGCTAGCTAGCAGTTAGCGCTAACAACACGGGCTGCCATTCAAAACGGACCGAAGACTTTTTCTCTCATCAAACCAACTTTAACCTTTTAACGCACACACGCATCTCCTACAAATAAATAACACGCACGTTAATATCTGTGCGTGTTGTGCGTGATTTCTAGAACAAGCTAGTAAAAGTGAGTAAACGCCAGCGTTACCTCTGCCCGCTCTTTGAATGTAGTTTGACTGGAGGAGAGTTGACCTCACAGAAGCACAACACACAGAGCGGCTCCCGCACTTCCTGGCGCTGTGTGTTGTGATCACAGTACAACTAAGATGGCCGCCGGTCACTCTTCAGTACCGGTCTGTGTTCACTACTTGTTAGTGAATCTTGTTCAGAGAAAAAAATGAACAAATGTCGATTGCAGATCTGTCGTCTTGCTCCGGGGCTCGTGCAGAGAAGCTAATGATGAATACCGGAAGAAACAGAAGCATTGCATGGAAGCGAAACACGTGACTTCAACTTCAAACCTTGTTATAAAATATATTCACGGTTTCAAAATGTAAACTAACCTGTTGATCCCAGGCACTGCAACAGTACAGCTTTACGTTTGTGTGTCTGGAGTTGGACTCACCTTATTTTCTATCAACTCTAATTCTATGACTGATCTTCGTCACGTGACCAAATACAACTTAGTGAAAAGTACTTCTTGTAATTCTCTCTCACTCAGCTTCAGTAGTTTTGTTGATCTGCCTCTCTCCCACTCATACCTCGTTTTATTTCATATCAGTGACCACGTGTTTACAAGCACAGGTAGAAAACAGTGGAGAACTTGATCTTACAAAGTTAACTTCTCACTTCCCTCCATTTTCAATAAACAGGCACTTTACACACCATGTGTTTATTCAGAGTATTTCTTTGATCATAGATATACCCTACCTCTACCTGTATGATAATATCCAATAAGCATTCATTCACAGTTGTTTTTCACTATTTTGTCACTGTTATTATTGGAGTATGGTCCAATGACACCTTTGAGATAAATAAATATATTTCACTTTAGACAATTAGACACGTCGCAGTTGGAAAAGCACAGGTTTTAATAGGTTTTTGATTCAATCAGGCAAGAATCAAAGAAATCAATGGCAATTCAATATTTGTATTGTATTGTATTGTTAGCAGAAGGTTAGTAGTTAAAATATAAGGTGAATGTATTATAAACAAGCTACTATCACTAAATAAATAAATGAAATAAAAAGAACTTTTCTATTATTCTCTGCATTTTTATAAACAAGACACATTTTAACGTAACATATTTATTAAGGTAAATCTTAATACATGTGTTTGTTATGTAAAATACAGCAGCATTATAAAGTGTTCTTTTGATTTGATTTAGTACATTTATATTGTTTATTGTTGTATCTATTTTTTTATTCCTCATGAAGCTTTTTACACACAAAACACTTTGCACTGGTATCATCAATATTTTGGGATTTTGGGGATCTGATTATAAATAATCAAAATAATGCCTGATTTCCATGTTAAAGCTTCAGTTTCAGGGTCCTGCTACTGTGCACACCAGCTCACTGTCACACCGTCATAGCTTAGACAGTTGAACATTAGAGTCAGTTGTTAGGAGTAATTTCTGTTTTTTCCCTAGTATGACAAGTCTTTAAGCCTATAAAGTGCCAACATTTTAAGCAAAAAAGCCCAAACAAATCAACAATGCATTTGGTACTAAAATTGTTTTAATTGTTTCATGGAATTCAAATAAATAATGTTACAATCACAGAGCTAAAATCAAGCTCATCATGGAAAGTAAATTGAGTCAAGTTTAAATAAAAAGTAAAAAACATCATGGTAACTGCATTTTTCAAATTCATTTGTATCTCTTTTACAGAAAAAGTGTATAGCTATGAGTTAATCTATTTACATTTCCTCCTGAAGGCAAATTTATTTTTACACTTGCTCAATAATATAATAAGCCATATCCCAAAGCATTTGTTTTTCTAAGTTGCAGCACAATCATCTTACAAAAGAACAGACACTGCCAGTGAAAGGCATCATGGGAAAGTTGTAAGGATAGATGATAAAAGAGCATTGTTTTTGATTAGCCTAAATGTGAAAAGCAATGGGTAAAGACTACTCTTTCCCAACACTGCCTTGATTGTGGAAATTTAAAAAACAATTGTGGTTGCGTGAGATACATAGAAAGACACAGCACTTAAGGCATAGCACTCGAGATGTTCGCTGACAGTCACCAAAACGGCACCTGCCCCCTTCTCCCTCCCCAAGCTGCTCTGGCCAGTGGCCCGAACCATCGTAGCGCGTGGCTGCATCCGGCAGAGGACATTCCTCCACCATGGTGGGATTGGGGGTTTCACTTGTTGAGTGGGTTTTCTCTACAGGGGGTTGAGGGGGAACAGAGTCCTGCGTATCAGAGCCACTGGAGAGGATTAAAGCCTTGGACACCTCCAGTCTGAAGGCCATGAGAGTCAAAGGTGCAGAAGGTGCCTGCTGATCCTGTCGGTACAAGAGCCAGGAGTTGACCAAAGCCAGATCTGTCAGGTACCAGAGCACTGCTTGAGGCCAGCAGGTTGGAGCCAAGGCAGTGAGGGGAATAGGGTAAAGGTTTCGCAAATCTCTGTTGAGAAGAGCCGACATCTGGGCCTTCTCAAAGTTGTCGGTGAGAGAAGCCATGCTCCTCTGGCCATTCCCCGCAGTAGAAAGAATAAATCCGCAGTGTGATCTGCGTAACATCAGCTTCCCGTCTGAGCTCACAAACTCATCCCCAATCTGCCCCCGTGCTCCACCCACCCTGCCTGCACCATGAACTCCAGCAACCAGCAGGCGTTCCAGCATTGCTGGGGTGGAGAGTTCCTGTTTGCAAAGAAACACCATACTTCCTTTAGGGACCATTTTCTCTACAGCATCTTCTTTGTCGGAGAGATTCAATTTAAAATCCACATGCAGGAGTAAACCCCCAAATCCAATTAATGTAGTGCAGTAGAGAGACACTTTGTAATTGTGCAACCTCCCGGTCAATGGTAGTAGATATTGGTCAACTGCATAATCACCCTCTCTTCTCAGGGACTGGCAGCCTGCTTTGAAGCGGCTCAGTAATGGCTGAACCTTCCACAGTGGATCAGTCTGTGTTTTGGAAGTGTTTGGATCATTTGTATTGTCACGTTGGCTTTCCCCGTCACTTTGCTGAGAAATTACAAATTGACTGCTTGGCAGAGTTTTGTCTTGATGTCTATTTTGAAAATCAACGTCGTGCCTTTCTTCCTGAATAGTACTGTTGACTGGATCGTTTGCAGGAGAAGCAAACTTCAACTTGCAAGTCAGCTCAAGGAAACGTGAAAGTGGTACGGCGTCAGCAATTAAGGGAACCTTTGTCAAATCGTCCCAGTAGAGCCTCGGACTGGGAAACTGAAAAGTAAAGAGATCAAATAAATAACAACATTTGGTGGTCTTGCATCTAATTAAAGCTGGGGATGGTAAGCCTGGAAAAGCTAGCAAGTGCAAAAAACACTTTAAAAATACACAATCACTACGTCACCCTACCATCAACCATCTCATCACAGCAATGTCTTCAAAACACATGAGTGCACACTGCCTGACAACGGCTGGAAGCTGACTTATGTGACTCGCTCGCTAACTTCTGACTATTGTCTAAGCTTCAGTGGTGTGTGTCTCTCTGGCTTGTGAAGACTATGGTCATGCAGAGTGAGAGCATGGGCAGGCAAGTAGATCAGTTAGTGGCAGAAAGCTACGCTAGCTGGTCAGGTTTACAACAGTCCTGTGAGGGCCACAAACACAAGCTTTTTTAACATTTAAACAACTTCATTAATTGATGGCAAGGGATGTGAAGAGGATTTCATCAAATAAGATAAAAAGTGTCAACTGAAACAACTTGAGCAACACTACCTTTACCAGCGTCAAGCAATAATTTAAGAAGCAAATCAAATAGGAGGACAAACCTTCAGAGTTCCCATTGCAACGTGGATCCCAACAAACTTTGCAACCTCCCTGGCTGTGACAGGGTTCGACATGTTGGATAGTTTATTTGTGCAATTGGCAATTTCTTCCCAGGTATCCCAACTAAAGTATTTGGAGAAGTAATCAATAGGCTCCCTGGTCCTGTTTTCATCTCTTGGTGCAAGGAGCTGGTTTGTTGAGTTTGACAAACTGTGGAAGAAAAAGAAAGAACACCATGAACAAACAGGTGAACACCAAAGACAGATAACATTTAATACATGTTACTACGTAAGTACCAGGTTTTCTGTTTTTCAACAAATTCATATCTACAACCCAGAGTTTGCCCATAACTGTACCAGTTAAGACAAATTCTAATGATAATGAATTTTTTTTTTTTTGACAGTCAACATGTGTTCTGTGAATACTTAAAAGATAAGATCTTTATTGATCCACAATAGAGTTGGTACAGCAGCAGGCAGGTCAGAATGATGGAGACAAGAGAATAAAGCATATAAGAGAAAGGCAATAAAATAAAAAACTAGTGTACTTTTGAGATGTTTGATCTGGCTGTCGTGCACAAATGGTCTTGTTCTTGGAAAAATAAGCCATCACTTCTGCTTCCGAGTCAAGCTGAGGATCAGACAGTTCACCTCGTTCCTCTTCATCAGAGCTCCGGAGGAGAAAGTCCCGGAGGTCTGGTGGATGAGGCCACTCAGCATCTGCCTTTGCTGAAAGATTGGTTACTTTACAGAGAGTTCAATGTTCATCAATTTTAATAAATAGCTCATTAATAAAGTTGTTACTATTGTTTGTGATTTTTGAAACAGAAAACAAACCTTGTCCAGGTGCAAAGTCACTGACCCCTGGTTCTGACAACAGCCCTCTCACTCCTATCTCCTGGCGGTCTTGTGTGGCTTGCCTTCCTTCATCTGTTGTTAATGTTGTTTCACATTTATAAAGGTTTTACGATACTCTTCAATGTACTGAGGATATAACTAGAAATCACTCACATAAAGCAGCATCAGAACTTTGATGCTCTGTCTGATGTGCAACACTGGATCCCTCTGGTGTTAAACTCCCTCTGCTGGTCTGAGTGGCTCCCAGTAGAAGCTCCCTCTCCTCCTCTTTTACTGGGTAGAAGATACACTGGTTGGTGTTGAACTCTGGTGTGATGCGACTGTTGTTTGTTGTCTCCTCAGTCTGTATTACTGAAAACACAAGTCCAGAAACATTATTCATCCATCTCTGACGTGGCAGAACACTGTGAATTTACCACCATATACTGTAGGCTCACTTATTTATCAACTAACTTCAGGAAAATCACTTATACCATGTAAATTATATTATTATATTGATTGTTTATATTTTATAATCTATAGTGGATTATAAGAACGGTTCATGTCCATGATGGACAGACCATTTTCTGTGAATCATCTCCCTACTCTCTCATCCTGTTTCCTTTCTCTATCAAATAAAAGCAAACAACATATATATTTTAAAAAGCCAATAATCCGATTCCCTGCAATGTTTTTAAAATGCTACAACAGTATGTGCTCATACTTACATGGAGTTGCAGTGTTTTCATTTTCATTCACTGGCTCCACATTCCATCTGATTTGCCTGCTGCCGTGTGAGGCCTGAGCCTCATTCAGCACGAGGGTGCTCTCCTCTTTCACCAGAACAGTCCTGATGTCACGCTGGTGATGTGGCTGCACATTTAACCTCAGCCTATTCTGACTGGAAGGTGCAACCAACAGCGGATCTGAGATATTCTCTTCAACCTTGATCTCCCGGCTCCCAGGGACTTGAACTACATTTGCAGTAATATTGTCCAAACCCTGGAAAGAATTTTTTTTGTTTGTTGATAAAATAGCAATACGTAATTGATTGTGAATGTACTGTGTTTGTTCGTATCTAACCTGTCTTTGATTGCTCCTTGCAGTCCTCAGACACAGCTCTTTGTCAGCAATCTCTCTCTGTCTAGAGGTGAGGAATTTCTCCAGTATGATGCCTGGAGACTGATCAACCTCCCGGTCATGTTCCTCTCCTTCATTCATTACTTCCTCCACACTCGTGGTGACCGACTCCAGCTCAAAAACGACTTGCTCTTCAGGAGATTCCTCTAACGCAGGGGGCCCGTGAGGCAAACACGCGGCAGGAGCAGTAGCTTTTTGGGCCTCACATTCAGGATTGGTCTTTGGCTGTGAAGTCTTTGTGCCAGTCTCAACTTCATCATGAGCTCCTGAGTCAGGGGTGATGGCGTGTTTTTCATAAATGACCTGACATTCATCTTGTTCTTTCTCTGATTCTGTTCCTTTGACAGTATCCCCACCTAAAAACGTCCTAGTTATCATGCCCCTTTTTAGATGTCCTCTTCCTCGTCTCCTGCCCCTTGTAGCGTTATTTATTGCAGCTCCTTTCCCTTCAACTTTTTTTCTCTGGACTACCATTTCTTCCTCTTCTTCCTTGATCTCCACTTGATGCGTGGAGCACGACACTGTTTGCCAAGTTAAACTTTTTTCCATTATTGTTTCATGCCCAGGTGCTGTGGGTGTTTCAGTGCTTCCACACTCAGAATTCCTCTTGGATTCATCTTGAGCAACACTTTCTTGCAATGAAGCTGGGTCACTTTCATCTTTTTCATTCTGCTCCCCAACAGTGACTAAATCCACCTCAAGAAGTAAATCCTCCTTGATGTCTTCATCCACTGTAGCTTGAACTTCAGACTCTGGGCTGGGATTCTTCAGCATTGAATTTTCTTGCTCTGCTTCATCTGATGTTAAAGGTTCCCCAGTCTCAAAATTCCTTGTCTGAGTAGAGATATTTAAACCAGATTCAGATGTGAAATTTGAAGGCGGTTCACAGTTTTTCCCTTGATCAGATAAAGAGCAACCATCTGAAGAGGTTTGAAATTTAACATGGGCTTCTGTTTTACTACCATGCTTATCTTCACAGGCACTCATTTCAACATCTGAAGGAGGAACAGGTAAAGACGGGGATGGAATCAAAGCTGGAAAACAGACAGTCCGCTCTCGGTCTTCTAAAGCCAACTCTGTCACCTCAGGCTCAGTATCCCAGTCTGCAGCTGCATTCATCACCCCAACAGCCTTAGCACTCTGTTTTGGAAGCTGGTAAAGATCCAGCCTGGAGACCCCTTCAAAGATGTTCCCATTGGTGTACGTGAGACTGGGACTCTCGACGATATGCACCGTCGCCTTATGCTTCTGAAGGGACGAGAGTTCGCTGAATCTCTCCCCGCAGTCCTTACACTCTAAGGCACGTTTGGAATGAGAGGAGGTTATTACACCCTCTGTCTCTACTTTCGAGGAGGCTTTGCGCTTCCTGGTGGTCTTTGGCTTGGTGGGTAGTGTCTCTGATGGTTGACGGGAAATCTGTAGCGAGGACAACAACGAAAGAGCTTTTTGGTTCTTTTTTGGTCTTCCTCCTTTCTTCTTATTTTCTGCTGTGAGATTATTTGCAGACTCACTTGTTGGGAGTTTGTTGTCTTTACTCTGTTGAGACATTGGTCCGGCATCAACAGGTGAAGCCTCCTGTTTCTGACTTGATGCCTTTGACGGGTCTAACTTGTAAACTTTCAGCTGGGGCTGTTTGTGGCCTTTCAGTAGAACAAGCGGGTCTTGTGTTATGTGTGGTTCTTGTATTTCTGCTGAAGCTGTGTCTGTATTAACTTCTTCCTTTTTTGCCAGGTTTTTCTTTCTCTTCCCATCCTTTGCTTTCTTGGGCAGATCTTTTCGCATTATTTTCGTTTGTTTTTTCTTTTTAAAAACAGGCAAAACAGCAGTTTTGTGTTCACTTACTGTCATCACACCCTCCCTGGCTTGTTCCTTTTGCTTTTTAATTTTATTTTTTCTTGTATGCTTTTTTCTTGTATCAAGGTTGATTTGTTGCTCCTGTGATTCCTGGTTTAATGAGGGTAATTTTATTTCAGCTGTAGATACCAAGTGTCCCACCTCCCTCTCTTTTTTTCCCTTTCTTCCCTTCTTCTGTGATGAGGCTTTTTTGGGTGAGAGATTTGTTGTTATCTCTTCTTCCCAAGTTGGCTGATGCTGCTGTGATGGCTTCTTCTGTTTCTTGATTTTCTTTTCTTTGCTCGACGGACCAAATTTAACAACAAGATGAGACTTTTTTGTTCTTTGGCGTTTGGGAGGTTTGGCTTCAATTTGTAAATCATCCTTTCTAATGGATCTGACCTGTTCTTGTATATATCCTTGAAAGATAAACGTCCTGGCTGGCTTTCTTTTCCGCACTTTAACTAGCTCTTGAGCTGACATTACATTCACAGGTAACTCTGAAATCTGTGGCACCTGCTTAGACTCTAACTGCGATGGAATCTCTTTTGGAGCAGATGCGTCCTCAACTTCAGACAACTGTTCCTGACCCGTCTTCTGATCTACTAACAATTTCTCAGAGGAGTCTTGTTCAAATGGCTCCTGTAAAGCCTTTTCTTGCATCTCTTGTGGTACAACTCCGTCCATCACATTGTGGATTAGATCTTGACTTTCTGTCTGCACTAGTGATACATCATCTTCTTTGACGTTTCTTTCAGATTCACTTGGGGTTTCTGTGAGTGTGTCTGATGGAACATAAGGGCAGGTAGTGACTTCCTGTTGCTCAGTTTGTAAAGGTGTCAGCTCCAACTCAACTGTTGACATAAATGTCGGGACTGACAGGCCAGTCTCCTGCTCATCTATCACAGTCTGATCTGGAGTCTTCTCCAGTTCAGTGGTTGGCACAAGAGAGGAAGACGGGATTTCTTCTTTTGGCAAAGTTTTGGATTGTTCCAGCTCCAATGTCGGCATCAGAGCAGGGGTGAGTTCTAATATGAACGTTTGCTCAAGGTTTTGATCCTGACAAACCATTTGATTCACTGGGTCAGACTGAAATGCACTAATCTCAGGCTGTTGAAGGCTCTGATGCATCACCTCTCCCTCGTGTCTCTCTGTTTGTTCAGTCTGAACAAATGTCAGCTCTATACTTTCACCTATGGTTATGTGGGAACCTAATTCTGGGAAATGAGGGTTTTCCAATTGCCCGTCCGGTGTAATAGGTTCCAGTATAATTGTTTGCTCCATTGGATCAAATTGGTGGTTTAAAGTGTCCAGTTCAATTGTCTTTGATTCTGACTGTCCTATAAAATCTATCTGAGGTGGACTGATGTTTACTGGTTCTGCCAGATGTGGAATTTGCTGCAATTCCAGTGGAGGTGCATGAGGCGGCACCTGCCCCAATATGACAACTTGGTTCACTTTCTGCACATTTCCTAAAGACTCAATCAGTCTGCGAATCTGCTCTGTGTCAATATTGGAATCAACTTTTTGCAGCGGTCCATTGGGCTCCAGTTGTAATAGTCCTGGTTGGCAAATAGATATCGGCGTTATGATGGGTGTATTTTGCTTCACTTGCTGCCCAGTTGGTAGTGCATGTCTGGCTGCAGCAGGCAACACATTGTGCTTAGTTTTCATGTGATGTAGCCGTGTCTTGGTGGTCTTGAAAATTGCCTTGCATATGGAGCAAGAATATTTTACTGTAGAGGCACCTGAAAATAATTCAAAGAAAAAAGTCTGTAATATACTGTATACAACGAATAGCAAAACATATTTTCAGCACCCTTATGGTGTGTTCACCACAAATCTTTGTTAAATTACGGTTACAATTTACCCGGATAAACACAAATGATCCCGGGAAATTTGCGCCGCATTGCGTGGACACAACATTAGAGTTTAAATTATATATATTATTATATTACAGTATATGTATAATTGGATCAGAAAATGGGACTAAAGCTGAGTATGTAGCCATTTGAGTAGCTCTATAAGGATGTACTTAGGCACTTTAAACTAACTGGCTGAGTGAGTATGTATAGTGTTTCCACACAAACAGCAGAGTCAAAAAAGGACTTTCTCAGGAGTTTCTCTTTCCAGCCCCCTAAAAAAAACTTGGATAACATCCAAATGAGCCCATGTGAGAATACAGCAGAGTCCAGAGGATGCATCGCAAACGAGTTGACGTGTCAATGAAGTTTTTAACACACCACAGATGCAAAACTGAAAAAAAATACAAATATCTCAGGATGAAAAAGAGGAGCCATACCAAAATTTACTATTTCATAACATAATTTAGAATATGGAAAGGAAGATGTGAACTTAGAAGACAGCGAGATTTGAGAGTTTTTGATGTAATGGCCCAATGCATGTGTTGATGTGCTGTTACATCCTGTCACTGAACACTCCAGAGATTTCGTTGTGATTGTGTATGAGCGGAGAATCTCCTGCTAAAGGCAAACTCTGAAAAAGTCTGAAAATGGCTTATGTTTGTTAAGCCTCACATTTACTAAGTCTGAGTGCAACAAGACAAGGAGGATGTTTTTTCGCAAAATCCAGAAAATAGTTGATATTTTAGTCTGGACCAAAGTGGTGGACTACCTAGAGACATGTAGAAGACCACATAAAGTGGGTTACCTTTTCAATGTGTAAAATTACAGGATATTTTTAACATGAAATGTTTTCTCACCATCCTTTTTCTTCACTTGTGCTTTAGCTGTGGCAGCCCGCTCATCTAGCTCCGCTCCCTCTGGCAGGTGGGACACAATATGTTTCTGCAGAGCTTTGGACATGGTGAATCTTTTGCCACATTCCTTGCAAACGTATGGCCTTTCTCCAGTGTGTGTGCGTCGATGATACTTGAGCAATGTCAAAGTTTTGCAAGGTTTGCCACAGTCCGTGCAGGCATAGCCGTCCTGGCCAAAATGAATCTTTTTATGAATGGTAAGCTCGGACGACTTGTTGAAGGCCACGCCGCAGATCGGACACTTGAAGGGTTTCTTCTCGATGTGGGCTTTCTGGTGAGCCATGAGCTCTGTGGAGTTTGTAAAGTGGCGGTCACAAACGTAACAGGCAAACAGGGCGTTCTTCAGTATGCAATGTTCATATTCTGCTGGGTGGCTCAACTTCAGGTGACGCTCCTTGCTCTTGTGGTCACTGAAGATTATGTGGCACTCAATGCACTGCAGGGAGAGCTGAGATGCTGGAAGGAAACAGGAGAGGAAATTAAAATGTAGCATTCATTCATATTATTAGCACAGAGACAAGTCCATGAAGTATAAAGCATTAAAAAAGTAAAATGTGGCTTTGGAGTAACTGCAGCTCCATCCATGTAGAAATGGCCTGGAGGGTTAATATGGTGGTTTCAGAAATGGAAAGAAAACTTTTACAGAACACACAGTAACTAACTAATTTGTGAAACACATCCCTTAGCATTAATATAATACTTTAATTTACTGTCACAGGAAATCAGAGTCTGTGCATTGGAGCTGTCAAAGAGAAAACTGGATTTTTAAGGCAGATACCAAATATAAATATATGAGAGATTAAAAGTATGAGAATTATATATTAATGGATTGTTCTCAAAAACGTATAACTCAATTTTTTTTTAAGGGGAATCCTTAAATTTTTTGACAAATTAAGACAAAAATATAAAATGAGCAGGACAATTTCAGTGCTCTCTGGTGGATTGAGAGACACAGTGCAGCATGTGCATTTAAATGAGAAGTAGTGAGAAGCTAATATTGGTTTATATATAGGCCAAATAATTAGTCCGACTCTAACTTGCAGTGTTTTGCTTGGCTGCTGCTGAGCACCACAAGCTATTGATTCTATAAGTTTAATACTACATACATACTACATTTAATAGTACTGTATATTGTGTTATTATATGCAGTATTACAAGACAAGATAGGGTTTTAAAAGAATGCTATCTTGTGAGTACTTACACTGTAAAAAGTATATAAACTCTGCAGTGATGTTTGTGCAGTTACTGTAATTAGCATAGATATTTTTACAGTATATAATATTGTATAATAAATCTCAAATCAATCAACATGTTGCCGTAAAAATCACAATAACCCATATGCAACTGAAAACAATTCAAGATGCTACAGACTCAATCACAACATACATCTCTATGTGTTTACTGTGTTGACAGCATGTTGCACTGTAAACTGGGGTTTTAAATAAACACTGAATCTCCAAACTAGGCAGTATAGCTGCTTTCAGTCATTAAACACAGAACATTTTCTGGGACTAATCTGGGACTAAGCCCCCCCTTGTGAAATGTCCAGAACATGCCTGAGTGAGCCCATGGGAGAATGGAGCAGAAAAATTCACAGCGAGCGAGTGAACGTGTTGATGACATTTGTAACATGTAACGCACGCAAAACTTGAAGAATACAATTATCTCAGGATAAAAAAGAGGTGCCACACACGTAGAGGCACTTTGGAAAGACTCCCATATTGAAGAGCTTTTGGCAAAAAGGGCCAATGTCGGTTTCGATGTGCTGTAAACAAAAACCCTTTGATTTCTGCAACACAATTTATGTTTCACATCCTGCCTCCTACATTCTCTACTCAGATGCAACTCCAAACCCAAATGTTCTGCACATTTTTCTGTTGTTTCTGTTGAAAGTGGCTGACCAGGACAAGAGTTCATGTCTGAATACAGCATATGACTCCTGTACCTTTAGTCCTAAATTCAATGTAATGATCAAACACCAAGCAGAACACCACACGCACACACACACACACACACACACAGTACAAAGTACTCACATGTAAGAGGCATGACCAGTTGTTTGGACATGTCCATTTTCAGAGGATCTATCATAGCCTTCTTGGAAGGAACATATTTCCTCCCATCACGTACAACTTTATCCTGTTTCTTAGCCTTTTGCCCATCACACAGAGAATTTGTGTTTGTGTCACATTTTGTGGGCGCACATGTCTTTAAAGCAGAGTCCATCTTCATCCCTCCGGGCTTTTCTGAGGACTCACTCAGCGGCTGAACAGCAGTCTGGTTCTCCACTGCCTGCACGACTGCCCCCGCCTCATTTTCCTGTGGTGCGATTACTGTGTCAGTCTCAACAGGAGCCTCAGATGCAGCCCCCTCTTCTCGTGCATGTGGTTCAATGGGTGCTGGCTGAGCCTCTGTGCCTGTGTCCAGTGGTTGATCTGTGGGTGCTGTGGTCACAGGGGTTGGCCCGTTGTTTGCCTGGGTGGAACTCTGCATCGCTCTTGGCCTCTCAAATTGTTCATATGTTTCATTAAAAGCAGTTCCTATAGAAAAACACATATGACTGTTAATCAGACAAGTAAACCACAACTGAAATATCAACAACTACAGGAAACACAGCATTGGTTTCCTTTTTTTACATCACTTAAACCTACAGGGGCTTTTTAAGGGAAAGGCATCTTTACACAAGTAAAAAGCGGCGAGCTACATCTTTGTTTATCTGCGTGACGACAGCTGGGGAGGCAGAGAATGAATGGGCTCACAACATTTGTATGACAAAGGAAGACTGATGGACATGGAGGGCAGCCGGTGGAGGCTGTGACCCAACTCAACGATGAACTTTGAGTAAATAAAATGCCGGCAGAGGCTTGTAGCATGCTAACATGTTAAAAACACGCTATTAGCATGTATTTCTGGGTAACACAGATACACAGATAATGGCAGCCTGGCCAGACTCAATGCAACGGTTTGCGGTCAAATCTGGCTGGAAACCTTCATCATTTCCGATCCGAAGCTGCTAAATATCCACTCGTCCCTGCGCCCGGTAGTAAACACGGCCTCGGGAGTGTGTGTGTGGATGTACAGTGATGTAGATGTGAGGGTACCTGGGCTGCTCCGTCCGCACAAACATCTCCGCGTCGCACAAAGCTCAGCACTGCTGCAGACAGCGTGACGTCAGGGCTGACGAGACGCGCAAAGGAGTCATGGGAGTTGTATTTTCTTTCAGGTCAATCGTTAATAGGATTTTGTGCTCGACTGAAACTATACTGCCCTTCATAATAATGATAATAATAACAACCCTCAAAGACTTTATCCCCACCCACTGTGCAATCATTATTTATTAATCATATACTGTGCAATAACCATATACTATATATACCTTGCAATTAATCATGACTGTGCAATAATGTGTAACACTCATCCATCCACTGTGCAATATATTTATGACTCATACTGACCATAATCACTGCTGTGCAATACTCATTCATGTGCAATACCCACCCATCCACTGTGCAACACAGCTACTTGAATATAGTTACATGTATATTTGTAAATGTTTGTCAATTTCCACTATTTCAAATAAAGTATATTTTTTTAACTTTTTAGTATTTTTGTACTCATATGTTTGCACTGTGAAGGAGTGGCTCTATTATTTCATTGTTGACCCTGTTAAATGACAATGAAGGCATTCTTATTCTTAAAACAACAATAATGATAATATTATAGCGTCCCGCAGTAAAGATGACACGAGGCTTAAGCTCTCCTTCCTTCCAGGTTTATTTGTGTACACAGGTGACTGTGGGCTGTGACCGATGATGTGAAGATGATGAAGGAATCTCCGCTGACACCGTCTTGATAAAAGGTTTATTACAAAAAGTCCAGCATCAATACAAGAGAGAGTTGTCGTCGTAAACCTAAAGAAACATATATGGTTCCCCTACAAGGACACCTTCTCTGTCTAGTAACAGAGAAGAAGGCGCCAGCCCAAATTTAGAGTGGTGGTTAGAGCCTTGACCTAATGCCCTCATGTCAACATTCAGTTTTCCTCTTAAAACCTAACTTATGGACCTCCGAATCCTCAGGACCTATGGGCTTCAGACCCATAGATCAACTTCCTTCAAAGAGAACACAACACATGGCATTTCAGACACCACAGTAACATGGTGGTTGCCTCCCTCTGGCTCCTTTCCTCACACCTCAAGCTCCCGTCTCTCAACCCACCATCAAGAGGACAAACCCCTGTCTCCCAGCAAATGAAAAGCACACAGTCTCACCCAACCCACAGCCATTGGTAGCTGGAACTGACAACAGTGACACATGCCCAAACACTGACCTGTTCAATGACATTCTGTAAAACTCGCTTATTCAAACTATAATCTTTCAAGCTGAACTCTATTACTAAACCATCAACACATTATAACAGTCAACATTAACATTCACTACCAGTCTGTTACAATATCTTTAACTCCACAACACAACATATATAATTCTGAAGATGGACGTTAATTAATAAACGTCAAACAAAATTCAAACATAAATATTTGGTGTGTTCTCATGGAAACAGTGCAACGGTGCCTGTGATCTCTGCAGAATTAAATCAGTACAGAACTCTCACTCTGTCAGTCTTCATCCTGAGTTTGCAACGAACACTTGTGTCTGGATCATCTCTACATTGGGCAACTCTCTGTATCATAACATTTTACATTTACAGTCCAGTACTTTGTCGAATATTGTCACGTACAACTTGAAGACAACAATGGAGAAATCCGACGCCACTAAAGTCATCTACAAGCCCATCAAGGTATGTGTGAAGTTTTCTGCTGCACAGGACAGGTGAGTAAGACCCACTGTAGTTTCCAGTCTGCATCAAAATGAGGTCACTCAAATAAACTGTGTCCTTTATTTATACACAAAAACAAAGATTTACACATAAAGACGTTTGGCCTATTGTCTGTTGTGTAGACTGCAGTTATGACTCAGCTGCTGAGACTTCAGGAGAACAATCAGCTCCCGTCATCAAAGTCTGGTGAAGACATGATGAACCTGATCGAGGAGGAGAGCAAAACATCTCTGAGAGTGCAGTAAATTATTAACACACACACACACACACACACATTCACAACACTTGACCTCAGCTCATGTCACACCAGTGTGTGTGTGAGGAAAAGGAGCAGTAAAGATGAAGCTTGTGTTTTCTTTCTGTTATGAAGGTTCTGGGAGAATCAGCTGAAGGAATACAATAACCCTGAGTTCCTCCCACTGCTCAAACTGTTCAATCTGGTGAGTTCACAGTCCTGAGAAGACATCTCAGGAGTTTGGCTTCAATTGTTACATGACTCTTGATTTCTTCAGTAAATTTGTCCAATCTTCTCCTCACATCCTCATTCCTTGTTTCAGGTCTGGGAAGTGAGCAACAGTTTGAAGAAGAGGGACATTGAGTTTGAGGCACGACAGCTCATCAAGTCCCCAAAGACCATACCTCCTAAGTTCAGGTGAGTTGAGTCACATTTCAAACATTTATCACCTTGTGTGTGTTTGTGTGTGTGTTTGTGTGTGTGTGTGTGTGTGTACATTGCTCCTCCAATACTTTTCATTTGGTTACTCTGCAGTGGTTGTTTTTTGTCTGTGCTGTTGTGAAGTGATGTTAACACAAACTTTAAATGACTGTAACCTACAGTAATTCTAGGATCATCAGTTTGGCTCAGAAATTCTCCAGCATCCTGAAGGAGCAGCATCAGCAGCCCCTCACCTCCAAACACCTGGGCCCACGAGAGGTGGTGCTGGAGGTGGTTCCCAAGGTACTTCAGGGCTTCTGGCTGCCTCCTTAAAACACCGGCATGAACATGCCGTCCCAGCACCTCAGTGTTCTGGCTGTTAGCCTGACCAAAGAAGTGGAGGACAAGGTCTCCAAACTTCTGCCCTCACTGCTCCGTGAAGTCCGCTTCACCCGCTCAACCAGGGACAAACTGGTCCAATCAATCCTGGACAGTGTGACACAGAGCTTCACTCGCCAAATATTGTTGCATCAAATGATATTGTAGTTTTTCATGTTTCACTTGATTTGTCAAATAATAATTGTATTTTTGCATTGCAGTCTGTCTCTATCAGTCATTTTCATTTGTTGCGAACTGCAACAGGAAATTAAAACTTTGATTAATTTCACAATTATTCTTTTACATTTACAAACATCTCAGGATTCATATTTTTGCTGAAACTTGCTGGATGCAACATGGGTATGTCCTTATCTTAAAATTAGTCCAGTCACACATCTCCCAAATATTTCACTCTAGTCCAATGGTTTAGGGATAGTTAGATAGTACATTCAGTTTATAGTATAAAACACTCTAAATCTATAATACCCCGTCACATGAAGGCCATGCGGATAGTAATTTGTATATATGCCATTTTATTTCATTTTACAAGAAGAATGTGTTAGCTTTACATCAGTTTTATATTTTCTCACTCTCTAACCCAACGTTTTGCAGCTAGTAGCTTTCATCAGTTTACATATCAAAAATATACACTGAATACATGCAATAATATCTCATAGCATCAGACAGTTGAGGCTGTTGCAGATAATCAGTTAATCTCCCCAAGGATATTTGCTGTTAATGTAGAGTAACACAGTGACAGTGTGCAACAATTATAGTTTCAAAATTCAAAGCATAGCTGACAGTTTTACAGGAGACGTTATTTCTTAGCTCAAATCATTTAATGATTAAATAAAATGTATGGAAAAAGCAAATGACTAATCCAGTGTCAGATCATCAGGAGTAAGAGGCCCCACTGTGAGGAAATAAAGGCCCCTGTGAGTCTTCATCCCTCAACATCAAACTGTGGAAACGGCAGCTCCCCTGTAGCATGTTTTACATAATGCAAATGCAGCTTTGCCACATCATCAAAGCCCATGTCACATTCAACACACTCCCATTCCCAGTATTTATGCTCTCTGTGCACGTTTGTCTCTTGACCCTCCTGTGGTTGCACACTTTCTGTTTTCAACCAATCGAGTGGATCAGCCGTGCCAGATAAGTAATGTAAAGGCTCCCCGCAGTCTGACTCTTCAGAATTAGCCTCATCAGCATCCTGACATGGCGTCTGAGTTTCATTTTGCTGCGCATTTTTTCCCTTCTCAAGCAGCTCCCCTGTGACACTGCCGAGAGCGGGTGTCTTCTTTTCAGAGTCCTTGATCCCCTGAGAGTTTTCACTGGACCCAAAGAAAATCCAAAAATGCTCCTTTTGATGTTTAATTAAGTTTGGCTTGTGTGAAAAACCCTTCCCACACAATGAGCACTTGTGTGGCTTTGCTGCAGCGTGGGTTTTGGAGTGAATCATGAGCTCAGAGGACATTTGGAACCTCTTGTGGCAAATGTCACACTTGTGTTGCCTCAGACTGTGACGCTGCAGGTGTTTATCTAGCGACAACTCATTTCTGAAGCCGATGGAACAACTCAGACACCAAAATGGTTTCTTTTTGTGAAGATCCAGATGATGCAGAAACAATTGTTGAGAAGGGAAGACCTTGTTACACTGGTCACATCTGGAACGTTGTGGTTTGCGTGGTGTGTGAACTCTCAGATGACTGAGTAGCCGTGTCCGCCTGTGGAACGACATCTCGCAGTATGGGCACTCGTATTTATTCAAAGTCTGGGCAGACTGTTTTGGTGAAGACGGCCTCCGTTTATGCTGCTCTAGGTGTTTTTTGTATGACACCATGTACGTGTAAAGCTTCCCACAGAACTTACAACAGTACACTTGACGCAATTTGCTGATCGACGAGGCGTCTTCTGCACTTTGCGATAAATCCGAAGTTTTTGTTAATGAGCTGCGTGCTTCGCACCCATTGTCAGCACCATCCATCTCTTCATCTTCATCGTCTTCATCTCCGCTTTCACCTTCATCTTCTCTCCCAAGAAGCAGTTCTGCTGCAAGGTTGCCATTATCTGGTTTCAGAGCTTCCACATCCACTTCCTCCTCCTCTTCCTCCAGGGAATGCTGGTGCAGGTGAGTCTTGAAAATGTCCCAGTCCGTAAACTTCAATCCACATTCCTTACAGTCAATGCTGCACTGGCTTTCTTCTACAAAAGAAGAAAAAGAGAGAATGATGGTTTGAATCATTTACAACAAATCTTAACAGTCAATGGAAACTTCAAACTTTAATAGTAAACTTAAATATGGTACAATTTTGTCTATCATATGGATCCAAGTTATTCTGTGATGTTTCGTCTGATATGCTGCAGATTGGTCAAAAGTCTGGTAATTACTGGTGAAGTTACCAATGTGAAACTGAAGCAGGTGAAACAAAACTGAGTCTGAGTCGTGGCTCTCATCTTCGTTCGCGGCCAATCAGAACGTCTCAACTTAATCTCCATAAAAGCTTTCAGTATCAGCAGTGCAGGTTTGAAGTATTCTTATGTTGCACTGCTTATCGTGTCTGCATCCAAACACATTATCTTCTGACTATATGGAACCTGGAATATGATACTCTAATGGTGCTACTTCTGTTCTGTAGTATCTTATCTTTATCTGTTGTTTGTTATATTAGTTCAAAATATAATGTGTAAAATTGTGGCTAGAGGCCAAGGTTTGTCCAACACTCTGTCAAAAACCTCTAAACACTTAACTTAACTTACATAAAAATGGAAAAGACAAAAGCAGAAAATCTACACTTTCAACAAGGGACATATTACTTCTTATTAAACTAATAGCTAGTTCTAATAGTTAAATGAACAGAGATGAAATACTGACAAGTTATCAAGTGTATGACGAGACCATTTTAAATTCCAGCTCGTATTTGAATTGAATTTATATCAATTCCTAAATTCAACAAGCGAGCAATGGCATTGCAGTATTTCTGTTGGCATACTTCAGGCTACATATTACATAATCTGTATTTAAGTTCTGCTATTCTTCAGTGATCAATAATCAAAAATGTTTTTAAATTGTCACACAGCTTTGGAGCTAATAATATTCTGTACTTTCGGATTAGGTTGTAATTCATGACTAAGTTCATTTTAGAGCTTAATACTGCCACACTAGACGGAGTAAACACACACAGTGTTATCAATAAACAGCTGCGATTCATGAGTCAGAAGACGACACCAACCGATATATAAAGAAATGTTCACAAAACAGACTGATGAGTCCACACACAAACAGAATGACTAAACTTGGTCTGGATTAATCACACAGTCCAATTATTCACAAATATCGATTAATTTATTTTGTGAGATTTTTTTCTTCCTAGTTTCAGAAATGGCAGGAGAAGGAGTCGAGGAGTACACGGTCATCTACATTTTCATAAGTTAATATAGCTAAGTAACGTCTCTTGTACAATACAAATAGTTTTCCAATGACACAAATGCTACAGTGAACTATCAACTACCTTACATCGACATAAGCACTGTTGTAGTTTAATGAAAAGTCGTTCCACAAAACAGAAACATTGAAGAGCAAAAAAACAGAACGATTAATGCAAACTGTATTGTACATAACGTTCAATTACTTGACTGTTTTACGGTAGCAACTGGCTGTAATGTCCAACATCAGAACATCTTTTACAGATCCAAGTTAACGTTGCACATTGATTTTTTTTAATGTTATTCTTCTCTTTATCTGACATTTGCAAATAGCCAAACCTCAGATGTTTAAAATGACAGCAGCAAAGGACGAGAAATTTGCAGTAAATAGTGCGTCTACAGCATTTTTCTTTTTTCTGTGAATCTTAAATGCACAGGACAGAAAACGTTCATGCAGAAATCTCTAAATCAGTTTTCTTTAAATTGATCTAGTTAGGAACTTCAGCATCAGGTGGCTCAAACATACATAAACCCAATTGAGACATCTCAATTTAAGTTCATGGGTGTTTTTTTTGTTTTTTTTAACATTTGCACATATACTAGTCCAGTGTAGGGAAATCCAGAGAACAGGAAATAACCTCAAGAGCTGCTTTTTTAAATACAAAGAATCTCAAATAATATCTGAACAAATAGAGAAAGCACATGTCTACTTTAGCTGTACTAAAGGTCCAACAAATAATTCTATCTTAAGAAAAACAAATATCTACAATCTAGTGTCGTCATTTCAGATCTTTTCCATTTGTCTAATCTAATACACTCCACGGGTATGTTCACTATAGTGCTGGTGCAAATCAGTTTCTTGACTAAAAGTAGTTCCACATTCCAGGCAAGTAAGACCATGGGTATCTCCTGAAGAGACAGCAGCGGGGGCTTCACTCTGCCCTATGTAATCACCGATACATTCCTGGTGGTGATCAATAAGGTCCTGTATTGCACTGAAGGTCCTGGGGCAAATGGAGCAATGATACGAGTCACTGTTACAGTGCTGAGTTTCATGTTTTTGTAATGCAGCTGGTGAAAGAAAGGCTTTGCCACAGTGTTGGCACTTATGGCTACTTTGCGACTGGGGGTCTTGGGTATGCGTAGGTTGGTTCAGTGTAGAAGACGAGAGGGACTTGTAGGACTTTAGAGGCTTGGGAGCCATAGCGGCGCTGAGCCTGTAGCGGACCTCATTTGGGAGACGGCAGCGAACTTCATCGTGCCAGGTGAGGTGCTGCTGCAGCTGATTCTCAGTCCAGAATGCGTGGCAGCACAGAGCGCAGCAAAAAGGCCGACTCTTTGCCTTGGTCTTATGGGTTCTTAGCTGTTCCTTTGTTTGAAAAGCTTTCCCACACTTATCGCACTTGAAGAGGCATTTGACTGATAGCTCTAAAATCGGGCCGGGTGGCGAGGAAACGTCAGCAGTGGATTCTGGAGTCTGGATTTCTGGTTTAAACTCCTGCTTTACCTCCTTGCATTCTTTCTTATGGTTTGCAGGGCTGCACTCTTTACCAGAGTCCAGACATGTGACAGATTTCAAAGGTGATGAGGCAGATATGATCTTCTTTTCTGCGCCAACAGGGCTATTGGTCTTTGCAGGAAGATGACTGCTCACTCCTGTACTGTTGTCTACAGACGATGATTCCTCTTCACTGCTCGTGGCAATGGAATCCATTTTTCTACTCAAAGGAAACGTGTGTTTGCCTTTTGCTCTCTTCTGGTGGGCCTGCCATTTGTGGGTGTGCAGACCTCTTGCTTTGGCAAAGGTCATAGAACAGATTGAACACTGGTAAGCTTTTCCCTTTGTTGTTGACGTGAACTCACTCCCATTGCAACTGACATCTATCTGCGCTGGAACGCAGTCTACTAACACAAGTCCATCTCCTTCAGGATCTGCAGCCTCCCAGAGTTTACTGTGCTCATTTTCATAGTGGGCAGCCAGGAGTGAACCTTGCACAAATGTCTCGTTACATTCAAGACATGACAACTTTTCCAGTGAGATGCTGCTCTCTGAATTATTACTTGAATTGGGCTGTGGCTGAATTTTGGTTTGACACTGAGGATTAAACATCTGGTGGCGCTGGAGAACAAAGCGGTTAAAAAACTGTTTGCCACATGTGTTGCAGTGAAAAGGTCCATCCTCCATCTTGAACCTAACTGATTTCAATTCATCCTCTTTCAGCAAAGACAGTGAAAATCTCTTTCCTTTGTGCCACCGTTTGTGGGCGCCAAGGGCAGAGTTAGACATGAAGCGCCTCCCACATTCTGAGCAGTGAAAGAGCCCTTTACTTGCCTCTTCCTGTTTAGGTTTCGTGTGTATGGCCAATTTTGCCTTTGCTACAGTTCTGTAACCATCAGCATGAATTCTTTTATGAAGATTCAAAGCCCCGACCACAGAAAAGCTTCTGTCGCATTTCTTGCATTTGTATTTCAAATCTGTTTTTCCAATTTGATCTTCCATCTTTCCCTCGCCACTGTCCATTTCTTTCTTTACTTCAGAAATAAGTGTTGAATGATTGCTGACATTCACTCTTTCTTTGTGACATTTTTGAGTATCAATATTTTCCACGGGTTCTATCTTACAATCAACTGCTCCACTGTCTCTCTTAATGCAAAGTTTTTGATGAGCTCGTAACGAGGCCTTGTTGTTGAAATGTGCGAGGCATGTTGGACACTGGAGATCTTCCAGCTTTAAGTTCGATCTGGGTGATGACGGGGAGTGCCCAGTCTCGTACCCGTGGCTTTTCATATGAAACTGAAGCGCTTTGGCTCGTGAAAACAGCTTCCCACAGTCAGGACAGCTGTACGTGTTTTTTTTCAACTGCTCCACCTGATGCTGAAAAGATTTAATGGGCGGTGGAAGTAACTGGTCATTATGCACAACCTGGTGTCTGAGGAGGCTGGAAAAAAGGCGGAATGACCTGTTGCAGAGTTCACATTTATGATTTCCATTTTCGTGTTTTCGCATGTGCAACGCCATAATGCCTTTGTGACGAAACTTCCTACCACACACTGGACATGCAACCTTAACACTAGAGCGTGGGCGGCCATTAAAAGAGTGCGAAGATCCCCCGCCACCTTTTCTTTGCCTCAGTTCTGCACACTCTGTCTGATTTTGCTTGTGGTGTGAGTAAGCTCCTAAAGACCAAAAACCCTTCCCACACTGCTCGCAATGACAAATCTTTGGGCCTAGAAGGGTCTTCTTTGGATTGTATTCTTTCTTTGTATTCTCTCTCTTTTGAGCGGAGCAGTTTTTCATATGGTTAAACAAGCTAGCTGCATGCAAGTAAGTCATCATACACTCTGGACATTGGAATTGTTTTCGTTTGGGATGATGTAACTGATGAGACACTAAAGCAGACAAATGTGAGAAGCATTTACCACACTCATTGCAACTCAGGTTTGTCTTCTCTAACCCTTCTTCCTGAAAGAATTCATTGTTGCTTGTGTTTTGTATCTTGTGTTGTGTGTGACTGCAATGTGCTGCATAGCTGCTGCCGTCATGGCCGCATGTGTCAGATGTGCAAACTGCCGCTGACTGACCTTGAGTTTGGCGTCTTTTATGAATGCCATGCCACATTCTGTGAACGCGCAGTGATGAAGCACGAGTAAACCAACGGTAACAGTCTGGACAATTAAATCTTTTCTTTGTGGATTCATTCTCGGCCATGCTCGCTACCAGTGCACACTGCTCGTCTGCCTGCTCGAAGTCGACTTCTACAATTTTCAAGTCCATCTCTGGTTTGGAAACGAGACCACTGGAGGAAGGTTCTGTGTCATCGTCGTCTCTTAATTCCTGATCTGATTCACACAGCAGCTCCAGATCAGGATTGTGGTCTTTGACAGAGTCGTCCTCAGATTCACTTGCACTGATCACCTGAACATTAAAGTCCCCAGGCTCATAACTGTCCATGTCTTCATCACTCTCATTTCTTTGAGAGTCTTCTGCAGCAATACTGGTGGGAAGCAGCCTCTCTGGTTCCACATTTACCTCCATGTTCTCAGTGTCTTTTCTCTCACTTTCCAATTGTTTATGTTGAGATAGGGGAGAGGTGCGTACCCTGATTCCCTTCTCAGTTTCTTTAAAAACATCTGTGTGGTGAAGCTGATGGGACTGAAGTGCTGAAGCCCTGGAAAACTTTAGCCCACAATCCTTACATTCAAATGCCTTCTTCTGTAGCTGACAAACTTGATGGAGGAATGATTTTGCTGGGGCCTCGTCACTGTGCACCATACGCTGATGCCTATAGTAAAATGCCAGTGTCATAAAGTCTTTTCCACATTTCTCACATAAAAACCTTTTTGCAGAGTCTTTTCTCCGATTTTCATGCCATCGCTGATGGTTGAAGAGGGCGATGTGGCCACTGAAAGTCTTTTTACACTCATTGCAATGAAATTCACTGCAGTTCTTCTTTGGTTTTGGTTTTAATTCATCTGTGGAGCATTGACTTTTGCCGCTAAATCGCTGATGAGCTTTCAGGCGCGACAGAGCAGGAAAGGCTTTACCACAAGGGCACTGAAAAGGTTTTTCAGGGGCATCGTCTGCCTGAGTTTCAGAAGGCTTGGCTTCAACTCCCGACTCCTCAGTGTGAAATGAATCTCCTGAATTCCTGTTTCGTGACTTGAATAACTTTTCCTCATGACAACGACGATGTGCATCAAGAGCTGAAGCACGGGAATAATTCCGGCCACAAGTTTCACACTGAAATGACTTCTTTTTCAAATCTTCAAGCTCACGAAAAACTGATTTAGAGGCTTGTAAGTGTGAACGCTGATGGTTGAGAAAGTGTCCAAGCGACATATAACATTTCCCACAGTCTGGACATTCGTAGGCAGGTTGCTTCATTATGCCAGGTTTTGTCTGAACACCAGACTCCTTTTTGGAGGTTTGTCCATGGTTCTTCTCCATGTGCAAGTCGAAGTCACTCGGTTCAACAAATGACAGTGAACAAAATGTACAAAAATTTGCTGCTTCATTGTCTTTTTCTCCATTATGTAATCCATCCAACTGGTCATCTAAATTCATGTTTTCTTGCAGGTGCTGCTGGCGATGCTCCAAGTAGGCAGGCTCCTCTTTGAAGGCTTCTCCACAATCCTGACAGCAGAAACCCCCTAGAAATAGAAAGGGGAAAATAGGAGGTCAAAGCCACTCCTGTTTCCAGAGATAGAAAGAAAAAATAATCACCAAAACACATGTGCAAATAATGTTTTTATTTTAAACGCAATTTGGCTTTACAGTATAATAAAACAAAGGGGTTTCCAAATAACATGAATGATTATGGATAAATGATACTGACCCTAAACAAATCAAATTACAGAGGTTCTGATAAATACAGTGTTTGAGCCAAGGGATTATTGTGAACTTCGGACAAATTGAAATAAGACATTTGCAGTGTGATGCATGAAATAGGCCAAAGCAACGCACTGCAAGATATTGTGGTGGTATTGAAAGAAAAACATTGATTTTCTTCCACTTGAACCTGATACCACTTCCACAATTAAAGTTTAATGGCAAACCTCAGCTCTATTTTGAAAGGCTATAGAACTAATTAAATGAAAAGACAACAGTAGTTTGGATTATTACATTAAGGCTGACTCCGTATTAACCACTGAATCAGAGAGCTCTTTAATGGTGCTTTTGGTAGGAGACAGGTTTGGTTTATAAAGAAATATCTATGCCCATTAACGCAGCTCTTATTGACAAATGAACATATCAAAATTATCAACCTCACAAAGTGCACAGGTGGACTTGACATGGTGGAATGATTTTACCCCAGAGAGCAGCATGTGAGTTTAGCGCTCACTCTGCAGATACATATGAATGAAATGTCCACAGAAGCAAACTACACACTAACTCTACCCCCAAAGAACTAGTTAAATGGACTATAAGCTTTAACTGAGTGCACGGATAAAAAAAAGAACTTCAATGTAAAAACAATTGTCCTGCACTGCCAAGGACAAACAGATTTATATATATTCCACTGATTTCACGATTGCATTTCATAATAGAGCATGAATACATTATCACTACACTATAAAGACATTTTAATTATGTTTCTGTTATTCAGTATCACAGTGCATTAGAAGCAGTAGATTAAATGTATTCAAAGCTTGTTGGTTTGTTGGATGATTTATGCTGACAAAGCAAAGGAAGGCATAAAGGGAGTAAAATGATGCCATAGACTGAACCTAGGGCCAACATACAGAGGGGTTAGGTTAAAAACTAACATATGGTGACCTTGTTGTTGGCCCACAACGAGCTGCAAGAACAGCTTCCGTGTGCTTTAGCATTGCCTCTATTCTTTGGAACTCTGCTGGAAGAGGCAACATTGCCAATTCAAAATACATTCCGTCATTTGGTGTTTTATAACTAATCAGATTTTAAATGTCGACATATTCAAAATAAAATAGCAGATTTTCTAACTGGTTTGAAGCTCATAACAAACTAATAATTGCACGTGTGCTTTAATCTGAGTTCGGCCTGGTGCTGATCACTGATCAATAAGAATTCAGTTGTGGCATTTTGTTTCCCCCCGTAAACACTTGTAAATCACGTTATATTTGAACATCATAAACATCATACTGAACGCAAACATGCTAGATAAAAAAACAAGATTTACAGCAAGTAGCTAATTCATTTCCGCGTGGTAAAATCGGCTTGAACGTTGACTGTTTGCATTGCTAATATTAAAAGGAAATAGCTAAATAAACCCTACATGAATACACATTAGAGCAAGTGCAACTTTATGCTTAATCATCTGCAGTTACATTAATTATGTAGTTGATTGTCGACATTTAATATAATGTCATGTTCGTGTTCTGAACTTGTGTGTTGGAGATGGCGATGCTTTAGCTTGCTAACGAAGTTAGCTGCTGCATACTTACTGTCATTTGCTGTGTCCTCAGTTGGAGGATCGACGTCGTTTTCCGAAGCTCGGTGTCCACCGGGCGGGTTGTCTCCAGCTTCCTCCTCTGTGGTCGTCGCAGCAGCTGTATCAGCAGCAGCAGCACCGTCCATCTTGGCGGTGTGGCTGCTTTCCGGCGCTAGCTTCCAATAGTTCGAGCTCGTTGACCGAGCAGCGCCACGGCGGCTTCAGTTTCCCTTACTGGCGTGAAGCCTGACTGGAAATGATTGGAAACTGAGTGAGGTGATTTAGCTCGTTGCCATTAAACAGCAAAGCAGCGTATTTCACTGTTCTCCCTCAGGCGAGCGACAATAAACAGGGTGGCTAACTGTGTAGCTTTCACGCTTGCACCGTGCGGCGCTGCGTCTACCACCGGAAGTGGATTCTTCTTCTTCTCTGTTCATGTAGTTCATTCTCCACTCTGGCTCCTCCTGGTGGCGTAACTGTGGACCCGTAGTGACTCATGTTCTGAACGTAAACAGATTGAACTGGTGCAGCTTGTAAACAGCTGTGAATGCACATCATCTAATTCAGTTTAGATCATACGTTTTATTCAAACATAGTAATGGGACTATTTAAAAGTCTCGCTAATTCTTACAGCAAACATTTTAAAGTCAATTTACTCAAGTTCATAAATAGGTAAGATTCTATTCTGCTATTTCAGAGGTAAATAAGCTTTTAACAGTTGACAGCTTCACACTTTTCTTGTTTTTCTTGTTTTTAAATACACTTTTTAGTAATCTGATGTTTCATGTGTAAATTAAAACATTTTTATTTGCATCAGTACAGTATTTAAATCACTAAAATAACCTGTAGCCAACTACTTACATCAGCATTGGGCCTCTTTGTGCATTAAATGTTTGTTTTTCTGGGTGCGTGTTCATGTAAGTCCACATGAACCTGCCTTCCCCCAGTGATGTGAATATGGGCATCCAGGTGAACACGCCCTTTACACACCTGTGAAGTGTTTCAGAAAAATAAACACTGTTGACAAACCTCCCACCTGCTTTAAAAAACACATTGTCCCCCACTGGCTATATCTTATTTTTATACAGTCTATGTGCTACACACAGCATGATGCAGCTCTACTTACCATATGAATTGGCTGCTCTCTGCCATGCAGGCCCACCAAGAGTGCACAGTCCTCAATTAAATTTAATAACCACTCATTTACCAGCCAAAGTGTCAGACACAGGCTCAGACACTGAAAGGAGCACAACACACACATTTGATGTGACAGACTCATTTTAGCAGGCTGCATATTTTACCTGTCAGACAGTCTGGAGTGGTTTTGGTTGGCTCAGGTTAACTGCATGCAGTTGTGTAATAGATGAAAGTGACTCCCTTGAGTTAAACTAAAGTACAGGATAAGTAACATTTTTTATCACAGTGCCCTAATAAATCTTGATGCATACAATCTTTCTACCGGCTTGTTGAGAAGCAACAGTGTCATCACTGATATTATTTTACCAGGACAACAAATATACCTGTATCAGCTGGAAATGGCTGTGTTCTACTCATGATGATGTATGCTTTTTAACTATTGTTCCTTTTGTTTTATTATTGAGTCTTTCAGCTAATTCAGATGCATTTATATTTGTATGAATGTTGATTAATGTACACAGTTCTTTTTTCAAACAAAGAATAAATCTAAATCTACTGTAACAGAGAAGGGAAAAGCAGGAAATTATCTGGAGGCCCGAGCTGAGAGGGAGCCCCAGAGAATGGCTCACTCATACACAGCAACAACAATTTTGTGAGAACCAATAGGCTATGTACAGGAGACTGCAACAACACCATGGCCAGAAACCTTTTAATTAAATAAAATCATCTCAGAATTGAAATGTGAAAGTAGTAAATCCCTCAGGATGTGAATACCCTGCAAAGCTTGTCAGCCTGAATGATTGACTTATGTTTAAATGTTGAAGGTAAGCCATGGATTAGATTTGCTTAATAATTACTGCACAACACATTTTAATCAAAGGCAAGTTTTATTTAATATGTAGACATCATGGGAAATTTCTATTTCTTTCCATGCCAAAACAGTGGATAGAGGTAGAAGGGCACATGTTTTATATGTTAAGATGCTGACTTTGAAACGGTTCCTTTTTCTTTTCTTTTTTTAAACAAATGGACCTTGTGTTTATTTTACAGTAGTAATGGAGATTTTCAGTCACTTATAGTGCAACCAAAGCTACTCAAATACCCAGTTTGATAATGGAGATGGGATACTGTACTGATCTAAATCTACGGGTGTGTAATGAAATCATTCAGTATTCACAAATAATACATTGAATTGTACTCAAGAGTGGACTTACATTTTTTATACATTCCAATTTGAAATAGTAATTATGATAAGGTGCTAAACACTGTCAACCAGCATCAGTTTAAAATCCAATGATCACATTTCAGTGATGATGAGTTGCCCCCAAAAATAGTTGACTTTGCATCAATTACAGCATACATACATTTCAGATCATTATTAATGACAAAACATCACATAAATCCAAATCTAATTTATTACGGAATTCACCATTTAAACAATTGTGTACTGACAGATGTTTCTCCCTCTTTGCAATAATTACTCAAAACTTTTACAGGGAATGCTCACCTTGAAATTACCTTGCGTGTAACCTTCACAATTGAGTTTTTAGATACTTTTTCTCTGACCAAATGATCACAATGAGAACGTTACTTACAAGATATCTGGACCCAGTCAGCGGCCCTGTGAATACAAGTGCTTCCTCTCAGGATTATACTGTGTAGTCAGCTTTTTGTTGTATATTCTGACACATGTGAGCACAACAACTCCCGCTGCCCCGGATCTGCTCTGCCCCAAGAGCAAAAACAAACTAGGCCTAGAATACCAAGACAGCAGACATGCAGACTGTACTCATAAAAGGCACACAGTAAACTGTACATGAAGAAACACAGTTCAAATGGTTCAGGGCGTAGGAGTGGAACTATAAAAAGTACTAATATTATCTAAATCTAACTGTAATTGGCAATAAATGAAATGTAGATCAGAGAACCTCATTCATCTCCATCGCTCAGAAGTTATTGAAACCATGGAAATATTTGAATAACTTGAATACAATCAAGAAAAAAAACAAAAGAAGTGGAAACTGATTTAATGGCACATGTATACACCCTCTGTTTCAAACAGTCTAATGTGAACCTGAATGACAGAAAATAAAAAGGTGCATCAAGTGTGCGGACGATATCATTGTGTTTTTGTCTCTAATGCCCATCCACTTAATGTGTCAAGCTTCACAACTGAGGGTCAAACAAATGAGGTTCCATT